TAAAATCTATACTTTTAAAGAATATAGGAAATTTGGATTTAAAGGGGCCTGCAAGCTAAGATTATCGACTTGCTCAGCCGGGGATTTACAGTGAATTTCACCGCACGGCGCAAAGCGTAATTAGGCGCGTCGCGTAGCTGTCTAGATCTAGGCAAAGTAGGGGTCGATTCTAGCGCTTCCTAATCTCTTTAAAGCTTCTTGAACTCGCGAATTCAACCTCTTAGAGGTATTTGGTTGATTACTGGTTAACCGTTTTTTTTTGTTAGATTTCTGACCAGCCCGCTTTTGATGGCGTACTCGATTAGGATACCAGCGTCATTCGGCGCATCGCGTAACTGTCTAGACCCGGACGATCGAATAGATTGATTCTAGCGCTTCCCAAGCCCTTTAAACCACCATAGAAAATAGGAAGACGTGCCAAAAGGCGGTGAAAAAAATTTGTCGTTTTTCTTGAAGGCGTCTACCCCCCAATTTGGGCCTTTCCCGCCGGTTGTGTTTCCCTGCCCTAAATTGCATAAACATTGGCCGGGCCGTTGGACTTGACTGAACTTTTCCGGGCGTTTTTCTCGCCTCGTCTGGTCAAAAAATGGCCCAAATCTTTGGGGAAATCTCTCGGAGCAAACATATTTGTTTTCAGCCAAAATTTGGTGCCCTTTCCTTCATCATCACGCACCGGAATACATAATTTTTCGCGCGCCGGAAATTTTCTTGAATTTGGGAATGGCCGGGTTTGTAAAGGGGAAAAGGCTTCAAAACTGGCTCATTCATGTAGAAATGCCCTCCTCGAAATTCGCCTCAAGAATCAGCTACCCCAAGCCGACTACCTTGATTACCGTATCTCGGCTCCCTGTTCATCTACAGGTGTGTAAAGTATACCAAAATACTCGCCAGACCTAGACGAACATTTTGGTATACTTGGTATACTTTACAGTCCGGTGGATCATCGGGAAACTGAGATACAGTGGCTGAAGGTGGCGGTGGAGGTATCTGTAGTGTTACGAAATTGAAGGCCAACCGGTTACGCGTTGAAAAACCGGGATGCGGGATGAGGGGGCAGAGCCGGAGCGGTGTTTGTTAATCTACGATCTTTCTTATAACTTTAACAATTTTTCCCTTTTTTCTGAATTCCGAAGGGAAGTGACGTCTCCTGGAATCCGCCAGTTTGGCCGGGCAGTGGGACGGGCAAATGAACGGACAAATTTGGGCTTTTGTTCGGCCTGCGGGCACCCACGCCCTCCCGAGGATGACCCTTTTTGAGGCTAGAGAGAGAGAGAGAGAGAGAGAGAGAGAGAGAGAGACATGCACAATTTACACAGAAACGGATTCGATTCAGCGCAAAAGAAAAACTCGAAACCAGGCCGAGGCATTCCACAAAATGTCAGCCTGTCTGGCCCTTTTTCTGGATTTTTCAAAATTCTGAAATTTCCGTAGTTTCCTAAAGAATCTCTGCTGGATGGTGCCTTTCTCTTAAAATGCTCAGAGTCTAAAAACCTAAACTAAAAAAACACAAGGAAAAAGAGTTCCCTGAAAAAATCCCTGCTAGCTTGCCTAAACCGTCAGACGAGAGAGCGAGAGAGAGCGCGGTGAGAGACAGAGAGATGAAAAAGTAGAGCACGAGAGAGATCGAAAGAGCTAGAGAGCGAGAGCGCTAAAAAGCTAGAGAGAGAGAGAGAGAGAGAGAGAGAGAGAGAGAAAGCTAGAGCAAGAACGAGAGAAAGGCAGAGAGATAGCAATATCTAGAGAGCAGCCAAATCAGCTTCCTAAAGAATCTTTGCTAGCTTGCGTCGCTCACTCTCTAACAGATGGTCAGCATACGGTGGTTGACACGTCGCCAAAACCCCTCAAAGATCCCAAATTTCCGGTTGTTTTGATAAAACTAAAAGTGGATGGGGGACCGGAAAGAGGGTGGAGGGGGGAGAAATGGGCCCGCGGGGGGAGGGTAAAGTGTTATTTAAAATGGCAGCGGGGCCATCCGGTGGCCGGGCTAATGGGGTGTGATAATTCACACGGGAAGAGAGAGGGTGAGAGAGCGAGAGAGAGAGAGAGGGAGAGAGAGAGAGAGAGAGAGAGAGAGAGAGAGAGAGAGAGAGAGAGAGAGAGAGAGAGGGAGAGAGATAGGAATGCCCAGAGGGCACCTGTTTGTCTGCGTTTCGGCATTCAGATTGATGACCTTCACACACTTTGGCCATCGCCCCATGGGTGTGTGGATTCCTTGAGATTAAAATGAAGCATCATGCTATGGGTAAAGCTGATTTTGGGTTTAAAGGGGCTGGGAGGTGAAATGAGCTCGATCCTATTTTTGACGGAGCCGTATTTGACGGAGCGGCTTTTTGATGCTTGGCCAAGGTCGATTTTTTGTCTTTCGAACTTTTAAAGGCGTTGGGAAGCCAAGTACATTTCACACAATTTGCGAAAGGAGACAAAATTCTTGAAAAAAAAAGAAAAATTTGTTTGGGATGAAGAAAGATGGTCCCCTTTAAAGTCCCCGAAACTTCTTTCGAATTCGACTGAAAGGTCTTACGTTGGTGTATACAAAAAAACCCAATTTGATACCTTTAAAAACCAGTCGTGTTTGATTTTAGGCATTGAGTCTAAAAACGAAATAAAGTGCCGGAACTTCCGCAAAAAAAACTAGAAAAAATATATAAAAACTGAGGTATATGAGCGAATAGCTAATCGAAACCTAGACAAGGCTAGAGCGTACTTTAACAACTCAGAAATTCAAATCTTTCTAAATACCACCCACACAAATTCCAAGAAAAAAGACGGAATTGGCCGAGCAATCAAGTCGTATTTTTCCAGCGGTGAAAAGCCCGGAAGGTCACTGGGGGCAGAGGCTTTTCGATGGCTTTTCGATGCCTAAAGAAGAGAAAAAGAAACGGAAAAAACCAGAAAAATTGAAGGCTTTTGGGCGGACTCTAAACAATGGATAATTGCTGTCCTCAGCCCCCCACCCTCACCTTCAATTCGATAGGTTCTACTGCCCTTTCCGAGGCGAAACAATAACAATCTAGAGCTGTGGGAAAAATGGCATTTTTAGCGTTTGAATGAAAACTTGTGCAAAAAAATCGAAAATTCGGTTACTTTCCTGAAATTTTCAAAATTCAGAATTTTTGCAATTTTTTAGGTGTTTGTAGCCCTTTTTAAACTAATTTAATTTGGAAAAACCGTAGTTTACAAAACATGAAAAAATTTGTTAGCATTGAAATATCAACTTAAAAAGTGTAAAAACCACAGAAATCCCTGCACATTTTAAAACATCGGAATTTTGCAAAAATGTGGCTTGTGGGTTATTTGTAATTTTTCATGATAATTTAATTTAAACAAAAATCGTTAGATAGCATGCAAATATTTTTCAGTAATTTTTACGTATTTTCAGCAAGCGAAAATTTGCATAAATGTCCCCTCCAAAAATTTCCGCCTTGCTGGCACCATCCCTTTAAATGCACGAGTTCAAAAAACCCCAGACAAAATTTTTAAGAAGAAAAGCTGCTTTTGCACGTAGTGAGCATAAACCGATAAGTCAGCTGACGCAAACGGTAGCGCCCAGAAAAGTCCCTTAAAGTACGTTGCGCTCCACCAAACTTTGACTTGATTGGCGGAGGAGAAGTTGATAAGAAGCGCTGTTTTGCGCGTGTGTGGAAGCTTTCTCTCTCACTCACTCTCTCTCTCTCTCCCTCTCTCGCTCTCTCTCTAGCTCTCTCTCTCCCTCTCTCTCTCACTCTCTCTCTCGCTTCACTGACGACAGCAACAGCAGCTACTTATTGGCTTAGCGGTTCCGCGATGCTCCTCGGCACGTGGGGCTCTACGCTGCGGCTCCCAATCGCCCCCCGTCTGGGTCATTAGTCTATGGCCCCGGGATTTCCTTGGGATGGCGTCTCTCTCCCTCTCTCTCTCTCTCTTTCTCTCTCTCTCTCTCTTTCCCTCTATCTCGCACTTGCTCTCTCTCGCTCTCTCGCTCTCTCCCAAGCTATTCGTCAATTTAGGCGGCAGCTTGGGCTGGCAAAGCTTGGGAACGTCGCCAAAGGTCTTGAAACTGACCACGAGGGTGGCATGAACTTTTTAAAGGGACCGGCAGGGCTTGACAATGGATTTTTGAACTTTTTCTGAGGGCTTAAACTGGTTTTGCGGCGACACGCAGCGCACGCCAGGATGACCGGCGCGGTCTGCGTTGCGGCGCTACCGAAAGCTGGAGGAATTGCCTAATTGCCATTAAAAAGCAAATTTTTTTGCTTTTAAAGGGATCGTGACAGGTAGAGAAATGCGTCAAAAAACTTTCAGGGCTGACGGAAAGCCGCTTTTTTAAAGAGATGGCGACACCCGGAAAATTCAACAAAAAAGCATAATTGAATAAAAAACGGGTATCCAGAGGATTTAACGAATTCTATTCCAAAGGTGCACAGAAATACGGTTTGCTGCAGAAACTTCCAGGCTGTACAGAGGTTGTCAGAAGGACATTCAGCACCTACTATCAACTGCTGCTTTGTTTACGGTATGAAAGGCGCGTGACACAATATACGATCTGATAATGGCTTCAGGTGTTTATTTGGAATGATTTGTTGACGGCTTCCCCGATTATTCTCGAAGCGGAACCAGAAAAAGCTGTAAATAATGCTGGAAACTCTAGGAAACAGCACGGATACCATAGTCAAAACTACGCTATTCTGGAAACCCATAAGGCATCTTTTCTGAGATTTTAAAGGAATATGGATGGCATAGGTCGACCCCCGATAGCTTTTTGGCAATTAGCCAAGAGGGCAGAAAGCATGTCCAGGCGAAAGGCGCAGGGTCCTCATTTTCCTCGCGTAATCGATTGACTTATGCCGTCTTGATCCCTTTAAGTGTGACCTTAAAAGTTCCTAGGTCTCGCAGAGAATTTTATAAAATTGATCGAATATATTTAAGTCATTTTCCCGAGGAAATGTACGCTTTATGAGCTTCGAAATGCTTGTGATCGACCTCAATTCCAGAACCCAAAATTCCCAGAAAGTACTGCCAACCTGTATCCGGATGCTCATCCCGTCAACAGACGGATGGTCGGGTAGTTGATCGTTGAGATGATGGTCATCCTGACTGTCATGACTGCCCGGTCTCTCCTTCTTCTTCATCCGGAAGTGTTTCTGCACCAGTATCGCCGCATTATAGAGTTGTTTGAAGTATTGGAACTGAAAAAAATCGTGGGTTTGGCGCAGCAGAAATAAACATTTTTGAACGTTTAATGAGCTTTAAACGGGCAAAAACGCCTCCTACATTCACTGGGTCTAGACAACTACGTTACGCTTCAAATTACACATCATACTTCTGGGTCTTTTTAAAGTTCCTTAAAATTTAAACTTTTTTGTTTTTTAAAAAGTGTTTTTATACCTTAATTTTTTTGTTTTTTGATGTGTTTTTAACTTTCTAACTTCTTGAGATTCCGCAGAGATGCAAATTATGTTAGGCTCTAGTTTCCTTTCAAAAAATAAACTACAGTATCCCAAAATTCCTGGTCATTTACGTTTTTCTCTTCTCACTACTAATTTTCAGCCAGATGCGCCAAATATCCTAATCCGCACGGATTTTTCGTAAGCAAATTAGGCAGTCATTTTTACGAGCACATCCTCAAGCTCCGGTATGCAAATTAGCAGGAGTTAACTGGACCTTCTGCTTCACATGTTTGCTATTGCTTTCTAGACCGTCTCGTAAACGCTTGGTTCGCCGGGGAAAAAGCGGAAAAGCCGATCTACCTGGGCCATTTGATCCCCAGCTCTCTCTCTCTCTCTCTCTCTCTCTCTCTCTCTCTCTCTCACTCACTCCCTCGCTAGTGTAACCGCATGGTTAGAAAGCACACACACGCGCTTCAACACATCTGGGCAATTTGCCAAATAGTAGATGGCCCCCCGGCGCCCTGGTCCCGTTCACTTTTTCCGCGACGATCCGGGCGTACGGGGGGAGATATCATGTGTGGGGGTGGGGAATGGGATTGCCGGGCGGCATGAGACAGCTGGATCGGGAATTTACGGTGTTTTTCGAAGCGGGGACCTTATTAAAAATAGCAAGATGAAGGCTAGAGTAAAAAGTATGTTACTGTCCGCTGCCGTACGCTACCGTACCCTAACGTACTCCAGCATCCATGAGTTGTGGGGAAATCTATCATAACGCGATCCAACTACATCAAAGGCTATTAACTGTCTTTAAATTCGGGCATTCCACTCCACCGTAGCCTACCGTACTCACACGTACCCAAGCGTAATGGAACGTAGCGTACGATATGCTAGGATTACAGTATAGTTTATCGTAACCCGATTTAATCTAGTCTATCCAAGCTTAGCATAATATGTACCGTAGCACATACGTGCTTGAACGTACGGTACAGTACTATGCCATTGCATACGATAAACTATGGTAAAGTATCGTACTTTTTCGTACTCAGAGGTATAATCTAGTATGCTATCGTAGCGTACCGTAACCCTCACAAAATAGTCAATAACCTCCTATTCTGTTGTATTCTACTGCTCAGTACCGTACTTTACGACCGCCGGTAGCTAAACGTACTCTGAAGGTGCGCAACGCACTTTACAACGATCCAACGATCAATACGAGTTTTAGGGGTTCAGTCGTACCTAGTAGTAATATCTGTCTTACTCTCACGATCTCTCGCTCTCGCTATCTATCTTTCTCTCGCACTCTTTCTTTCTCTATCTCTCCCTCTATCTCTCGCTTTCTCTCTCTCCCCCTCTCTCTCTCGCTCATAGCTGTTAGGTGAATGTTTGCTAATCAGACCTCCACAAAGACACCGAAAACCTCCGCCCACGGGGCTGGGGGCGGATTTTTCTTGGATTTTGAGACTAAAGATAGGCGAGTGGGGCGTCAAACAGTTGAGTGTTTGGGTTTTTTCGGGGGATTTTCACGTTCTTGCTCCGTCACTACCGGCTTTTCCTGATTTGTTTGTTTTTTGGGAGGGCTGCTGTTCTGCAGGAGTGAAGCTGAAGTTTGGCCTGAGAGAGAGAGAGAGAGAGGGAGAGAAAGAGAAGAAACTTAGAGAGAGAGCGAGAGATAGAGAGAGATAGAGAGAGAGACAGAGAAAGACAGATAGAGAGAGAGAGAGAGAGAGAGAGAGAGAGAGAGAGAGAGAGAGAGAGAGAGAGAGAGAAAGAGATGGGGAAAGCGGGTGAGTAGGTGAGGGACATACAGAGATGAGAGAGAATGAGAGATAAAGATAGCGGTAAAAAAAGATGAGTAGAGATAGAGAATGAGCAAGAGCGAGGGAGAGAGAGAGAGAGAGAGAGGGGGGAGAGAGAGCGAGAACGCGCTAGCGCCAGTGAGAGATAGTGAGCAAGAGCGTGAAAGGGGGAGCGAGAGAGAACGAGAGAGAGTGAGAGAGAGTGCGATTTCAAAGAAATAAAGACATCAAACTACGCCCCAGGACTATCGACGGTGCCCCCCCCCACAGAAGCCTCCCCCGAGCATTGACGTCAATTGGATGGTTTTGGAGAGTAGTGGAGTACTTGAGACGGCAAAAGACGATGGGCTGTGACCCCAGAAGAAAACAAAAAGAGTACTCATCCTCCATTCCACACGGCCCCCGGCGACAAACATTGAGGGAATTGTGTGGAACGGTTTTGGGAAAGCCCTGGGAAATCACGAAAGCTTTTAGGATTTTGGGATTGGGAGGTTAAGGGGGTGGGGAGTCAACTAAAATTGCTAGAACGGCTGATATATTGAAACTTAATATCAGCAGTCTTATAAGTTAATTAATTTGATAATTTCAACAAATTAATGCTGAATAGTTGTTGAATTTGCCGGATTAACTTGCATGATTCCCAGTCACGATTTCGAAAATCACGATTTCTAAAATCACGATTTCGAAAATCCCGATTTCGAAAATCACCATTTCGAAATTCACGATTTCGAAAAACACCATTTCGAAAGTCGCCATTTCGAAAAGACACCATTTCGAAAATCACCATTTCGAAAAAGCACTGTTGGAAAAGATCCGGTCATCAAACGGGTATAAAAATTAATGTCGAAAAACCATTATTTTTCTTGGATATGACTAGTGATTTAATAGAAATTGTTTTAGTGGTGTCTATAATGAAATCAATCATATCTCCAGTGGAAAATGGACCCCCGAACCTCAAACCAGCCAACGAAAAAGATTTTTTTTTCTCTATGACTGCGAAATAGGCTATTGCTAAATCCTGTGTTTCCCAAATGGTAATTTTCGAAATGGTGATTTTCGAAATAGTGTCTTTTCGGAATGGTGTCTTTTCGAAATGGTTACTTTCGAAATGGTGATTTTCGAAATGGTGATTTTCGAAATCGTGTACGCCAACACTTGCATCCAGGACCGGAAACGAAGGGCCAAGATGAATCAGTTTAATTTAATCCCCTAGCCTCTTTGTCATTTTAATTCGTATCCGTTTAATTTTATAGGTTTTTTGATTCATTTTTAAAAATTTAATTTGATTTTAGGTCTATTAAGTTAGCTTGATAGTGGTTTTTAATGATATAGAGTTTTTTAGCGTGATTAATGATATTGTCTTAAAAATACAAAAAAAAAAATCAATCTTAAGCGCTTTTTTGGAAGACTTCTCCAGTTTTTTCTACGACTTACCGCCTTATACCTTCGATAGAAGCTCTGAATCGTTATTGCAGCATTCCGCTCGGCTTCTGCGTGTGGCAGAACCAAGCTTGTTCGGGCCCTAAATCAACCGTAGCGGGATTTTACGGGTTTCAACGCACCTATATTCCCGATACGCCCTCTGAATCGTTTTTGCCGCTTCGTAGACATCTCGTTGCTCACTTTCTAAAAGAAACAAGCTATCAAAATCTTGGATTAAGAAATACCTGACAACCGCAAGTCTCCCAATTGCTGCTGCAGGGGTTCGGTAGCCGATCCGCTGTTTAGGAACTCGCCGAGATCTTTGGAGCTGGATAAAATAGCATAGAAAATTTTGCTGTCTCTCTCGCGCTCTTTCTCTCTCTATCCCGCTCTCTCTTTCCCTCTCCCACGCACTCTCGCTCTCTCTCTCTCTCTCTCTCTCTCTTTCTCTCTCCCAAGCTCTCTCTCGCTCTCTCTCGCTCTCAGTCACTTACTTATCCAAGTCAAAGCTCCCGGACTCGAAAGTTGTGGCTCTGGAAGATCGGAATGACTCGCTGGCACAAGGGTAGAGGTGCGAATTACTCCTCCTAGAATACAAAGTTCGATACGGTTTTTTATAGCTCCTTAAATTTAAAAGCAAGCTTGCAAAATACGATATTTTTGGTTTTACTTACCTAAACTGATTCTGCGCCACCTCGTGGCCCATCCCATCTTCTGAGGGCATCGTTTTCGAGCTGAAGTTGATATGATTTACACGAAATTTTTTTCGAAAATCCGTAAAGTCCTAAGGTTCTGTAATAAAGATACCTAAAACTGCTCTGATGCGACGTAGATGGTCCAAATTGGAGACTCATGCACTCCTCAAAGTCAGGCACGGTGAAGCCGGAGGTGTTGAACATGGGGGAGATGCCGGAGAAGGACAGGGCCATGTGCTGGAAAAGAAATCTAACTATTTTGTTCTTTTTTCTCTCCCTCTCTCCCTCTCTCTCATTCTCATTCGCTTTCTCTCTCTCACTCTTGTTCTCTCTCGCTCTCTCCTGCCTCGGCGCAACTTACCGTATCCTCATCATGCGGCGAGTGGAGTTGATGTCTTATGGAATGGTGGATTCCAATCCCATCGCCCTTGATCCGTTCAGGAAGTGCATCGATGATGTGCTGGGCCAATTGGGCCATTTTCTCGCGTACACAGTCGTTCACGAACACGCCGGGACTAAAAAACGGCGTATAAGTTCTCTGCTGGCCTGCATCTAATCGAATTCCTCAAAGAATCTCTGCTAGCCTGCCCCCTCCATCCCCTCCAATTCCTCAAAGGATCTCTGCTAGCCTGCCCCCTCCATCACCTCCAATTCCTCAAAGAATCTCTGCTAGCCTGCCCCCTTCATCCCCTCCAATTCCTCAAAGGATCTCTGCTAGCCTGCCCCCTCCATCCCCTCCAATTCCTCAAAGAATCTCTGCTGGCCCGCGCTCCACAACGGAAACTTGCTGACAAACCTGGTGACCGCGTCGAAGAGGTCGGCCATTTTTGGCGAGTCCGGGACGTGAACATCAGCCGTGTCCATCGAGATTTCGACATGTATTGGTTGTTCACACTCTTTCCAGCCGTCATCTTTGCGCTAAAAGGATGGTTATGTTCAGTTTCTCTTGCTCTCTCTCTCTCTCCCTCTCTCTTTGTCTCCCTGTCTCTCTCTGGTTCTTTCTCTCCTTACCTTCATCACGACGCTCCCCGTCGTCTCCAAGCTGCTCGAGTGCATCGGCGATCCGGTGGGCTTTGAGCCTTTCTAAAATAATTATTATTAAGAAAGCTTGACTCTAAACTACAAAATTTCGTTAAAAACGGAATAAAAGAAACAAAGGACGGAATAAAACTACAGTACCCGATTGAGCTGTCTTCTCTCATCAGTGACGGTTTCTCCGTTGGTGAAGACCCAAAGGGCGGTGGCGGCCATGTGCTCGGCGTCTTCCACGCCTAAAAATCGTTTGGTATTTTTGATAATTTTTACTACGCAACTTGAAATGTTAATTAATAGCCGTGTGGTTTAGAAATTTAAAAAGGCTATATGTTTTAGATATCTCACTTGTCGGGATGCCATTCGTATTCTTGTTCGCTTCCTCCGGGCGCGCGACCAGCTTGAAAATGGCTGGATCGGTCGTCAAATCGGAGGGCGTACGGCCCCTGCAAAATTAGCGTTTGGGCCTCACCCTCTCTTTCTCTCATCCTCTCCCCCTTTCTCTCTCTCTCTCTCTCTCTCTCTCTCTCTCTCTCTCTCTTACCGATCATCGAGTACATCAATGGCCGCTTGACAAGCGTTGACGATGGCCGAAACAGATGGAATATGACCCGACCGGACAGCTAGATGAAGTGCTGTTGAGCCTTCAGAATCTCGCACCAGCGGATCGAGCTCACGAGTGTATGGTAAAGACCGCCTGGAATGCATTTTTACAAAGCTTGCTGCTGCTTTTTTGCTTTTAGCAAGCTCGATGTATTAAGAGTAGGAATTGTGGCTTTCGAGTCCCTTTAAAAGTACAGGAAAAGCCTACCTCCACCATAACAACCACTCCAAAAGCTTATCATAATCGAGGGCCGCGGCCAGGTGTAAAATGGTCCTTGATGGGAGCAGCGGATGTGGTTGGAGGAGTAGGGGATTTGTCTAAAGGTCAAGCACTATTCAAGCAAGAAAAAAATTGACGAAAATGAGCAAGCTGGGACACAGTTAAAGACTGCTAGAACTCTTGAACGCACACTGTCACCCCGAGGGTGCGGCCCCCAAGAACGCGCAGAGAGAGGCGTCATTAGTTGCACCCCGTACTGGGCAAAGGCCCTCTGGGGTTTGGGGCGCCTCTGACTCCTTTCCCCACTCGGCCCTGTGGTATAGTGGCTAGCGCGTCGGACTCTGGAGCGAACCATCGCGTGATCGACCCCCGCCCGGTGCGCAATTTCCTGCTTTTAACGAAATTTTGATCGTTCTGACGGTCTTTAAGATACACTCCCCACGCACCATTTGATGCTGCAGCATCGAGCGGGCCAACGAGAGAAATGTTTCTTCATTTAGGGCAGAGCTCGACTAAATTGGGATTAAATTATTTTAGCTAAAAATGATAAGTATACCTGAAAATTCGTCCCGGGCTGGCCGCTGAAGGCTGCCAGAAAGAGTTGGAAGCGATCGACGAGTGCTTGGAGGTGGAGGGCTTCTCTGAAAAAATGCAAAAATTATTGGTTCGTTTTAGAGGTACTTTGAAATAAACTAGCGTGTGACTAGGTAAATTAGAGAACTAGAGATTTGCCTTCAGGACCCCTTTAAACTTACGTTTCATCCGACTTCTCCTCGTAATAGGTAAATTCGAAGGGAGAGGAGACGATTTGACCATCGCAAAGGACTCGAATTGGCACTTTTCCGGATTCACGAGCTGACAAAAACAGAGTTTAATTGTTCTAAAGGAAACTGACCTGGAGGTATTCTCACGGACAGTACGCCAACTTGCAGGAGTTGCGCTGGCACTTTCCGATCGCCAACTTGCACAGAATATTCATGGCCCTTCAGATACCAGCCGCCAATCACCAGAATTTTCGTGTCGCCCTAAATGTGGAAAGTTACGTACTGTACTTTAACCGTAACGCCAGCGAGTACCGTATCCTACAGTGCGTATCACACCTGTGTACGCACGATTTGAAATAAACGTTTCAATACTTACATTAATAGGAGCCCGGCTCGGTGTAACATCAGCGATTGGGGCATGCCAGCATTCCCCGCTCGACGATGGGCCGTTGGATCGTGACCTGGACGAGACTCCAGCTCGACTACGGTAGTAGGACTGAAAGGAAATTTTGAAAAATACTAAAATTGCTTTAAAAAGCGCGATCAAGATCTAAAGAATTTCTTAAAAGCATTGCAAAGCCCAAATTCTACCCCTCCACCGGCTAGGTCTCGACAGCTACGCGCTACTTTTTACGCTAGCTTTACTCCATCAGACAAGAAAATTCGGTTGGCACTCGTAATTTGGAGTTTCGCACCTTTGTCGAGACCTAATCGATTCTGGGGTCGATTGCCTCGCCTTCTAGTGCATTTAAAGCTGACCGTTTCTCCATCATCAGCGCTTTCCAAGTGGGTGTCTCCGGAGTGTGAGTGGTGCGAGTCGTCCCTACCGTACCTAAAAATAGAGAACTTTTTGGAATTTCTTTTCTGATTAATGACAACTGTTAATATCTTAGGACCAAAATCCACAAAGAATTCAGACTTCACTAGCCCTTTAAAACAGTCTCTAGAAGCTACTTACCCGCTAGAATTGTCCATATGCGAAGCCGGTGCTGGGAGATGGCCGTCCACTTTTCCGCAGTTGTTCACGATGTCTCCTAAATTTTATGTGTTATTTTCTAATGTTATTTCGGCAAAATTTGTAGTTTTACTCATATCTCAATATTAACAAGTATAAAACTAAACAAAATTACCAATAAAATGAGGATCTATCGAGTCGCTGAACGTCGATGGTTGACGTCGTAGGGCCACCGAGGACAGGCCTAAATTAATCAAATTTGATCAGGATTGAGGTTATCATTTTTCAAACGAATAGAAAACACCGCGTAATTAGTATAGTAAACGTGTTTAGGTCGAAAAGGAAATCCTTTGGAATCCATAAAAAATACCTTTCCGAAAGGCCGACGAGCAACTGTTTCTTCTCTCGAGGTGGGGGCCGGCGGGTGGCTAAAATATTCAGAATTTTGATGGGTTTTTAATAGAAAAATTCTATTAAAAGCTTTGGAGAAAATATTATTAAAAAACTGTATATTGAAAGCCTACCGATTGCAATCTGTCCCAAACCACTTGACATAGCGCTGCGATTTCTTGTTGGCCGGTGGTTGGGGTTACTAAAAAACATGGTAAAACTGTTTCAAGGAAATTTTTTCGTTCAGAGAGAGAGAGGGAGCGAGAGAGAGAGAGAGAGAGAGAGAGAGAGAGAGAGAGAGAGCAAGAGATCGTGAAAGATCCAGAAAGAGAAAGTGAGACCGAGTTTCAGAACGAGATTTGAGACGGAAATTGTGAGGAGATAGAAGAGAGAAACAGAGAGAGAGACAGAGAGGGACAGAGCGAGAAAGAGAGAGAGATAGAGAGCGAGCGAGAGAACGAGCAAGCCACTCACAAATCGGTGCGAGCTGCGTCTGAAGTTCCGCCTGTGTCGGCTTCAGCTGTGAAGCTCGGATGGTAGATGCTATCCGCTCCGAGAGAGAACGGTCTTCTAAAAACGATACGTTAAAGGAGGCGACGCTTAAAATACAGGTAAGAGCCGCCAAAACTATAAAAATTGTCTTACCATGTCCTTTATCTTCTTCCCTCGAGTTTAGGTAGTGCACCAGGACCACCTCTGGGCTCTAAAAAACCAAGGAATACATATTTTTGGAGAATGAGAGAAAGCCAGAGAAATAGAGAGAGACCGAGAGGGAGAGAGAGAGAGCGAGCGAGAGAGAGAGAGAGAGAGAGAGAGAGAGAGAGAGAGCGAGAGAGAGTGAAACGTACCGAAGTCAACCAGTAGACCCTCCTATGAAAGCTTGGAAATACGGCCGAGTGCGCGTATTTGGCGGAGATTATTTCCTGCTTGTGGACCTGAAAAATGGCTTTAGAGGTGTAGAAATAATTTTAAATGTTTTTTAACGCATACTCTAGTTTTTGCGATCGGTTTTGCAGTCATTAATGCGGCCACTGGGCCATATTTCTTACCTTTAGCTTCATATGGTCTTCTCGCGTCTGCTTGGCCTCTCTTCGCCGTTTCCACAGGTAGCCGTCATTCTAAAATTATAATTGATGTTGCTGTGTAAGATTTTTGAGGTTTTTCCGGATTTTAGCGAGACAAAAATCAGCTAAAAATAATGAAAAGTTCATACCGTGAAATAATTATCATTATAACGCCGGAAGAGCAGCTGGCTGCCGGATGGAGGCCGTTCCCGGACCTGAAAATGCAGAAATTACGGATAAACTATAGCATTTCTAGAATATTGAATTTTTAATAATAACAACAGCTTTATAGTATAGTCTTGACTTGCGTAACGTCCAGAACTAAAATAAAGCTATATTCATACCTTGGTGCTGATCCATTCCGGATGCGCTGAAGCGGAGCAGAGCAGCTGGGCGACTTGCTAGAATAGTTCTTGAGCTCCGGATCTCTCTCACTCACTCTCGCTCTCTCATTCTCTCTCGCTCTCTCACTCTCTCGCTCTTTCTCACTCTCTCGCTCTTTCTCACTCTCTCACTCACTCTCTCTCACTCTCTCACTCTCTCTCTCTCACTCACTCTCGCTCTCTCTCTCTCTCCTATAAAGCATACCATATTGGTGTTCCATGTCTGCTTATTTCCAGGAAAATGGTCCGTTTGCTGGATGCTGACGCTCACTGGGTTCATGTCTTCATGATTTCGAATAATTCCCTGGAACGGAATTACATAATTTAATAATAGAGCGTTAAAGCCAGAGAACGAGAGAGAGAGAGAGAGTGCGCGCGCGAGAGCACCAAAGAGAAAAAGAGAGAGAGAGAGCGACCTTGGGAAATCAATTTACATGTCGTAATATGAGAACTCAGAGTCCAGTCCGAGTTTAAATACGTTTGAAAATGCTATATTTGGTGCTGAAATCTATAAAATGCTCAAAATTCGTTTAAGAGCGCAAAAAACAACGAATTTTATTGTTGCTCTAACTATAAACAAAATTATAGAGCTTCATGGACTAGACTTATCTAAAAAACCACTAAAACGATCTTTTACGACCCCATTCAGCCTTTAAAAATACATAAAACAACTAAAAACCAAACCCAAGAAATGCTGCTCTAATAATTCCCAAGAAAAGACTTGGCAACAAGTGAAAACAGCCTTCAAAAGATATAAAATAGAGTAGAATGGAGTAAAAAAAAAATCGAAATCCCCAAAAGTGGGTGCTTTCAATTTCGATTTGGGCAGGGCAGGGGCGGATTTCCAGCTCTTGCCAGCTTTTGCCTGAGCGGGCCCGGGCAATGTGCCTCGAGGGGGGATATGGCAAATGTGAGTGGAGGAGAGAGAGGGAGAGAGCGAAAGAGAGAGAGAGAAAAGCCGAAAAGGGGGCCTCCAGGGGCCCCTTCTCTTCTTTTTCCGGCATTTCCTACTCGGCGGAGTGTCCCGGAATCTATCTCGCCCCGGCCTCTTTCCTAAGGTGTCGTATGTCTGCGTCTCTTGCATTGGCCCGCTCTCTCTCTCTCTCTCTCTCTCCACGCAAACACATTTTCCCCTCTCTCCCTCTCTCGCCAGCCAGGTGTCGGGAAGCGAGCCGCCCTGCGCAGCAAACAAAATCTCACTCTCTCTCTCTCTCTAACCGGCCTTCTCGCTTTTCTCTGCCCCAACCCCATTTCTCACCCCTCTCTCACTCTCTCCGCCGGTGGGAGACCGCCCCCAAACTTTCCCGGCAGGACCCAGCGCCCTTCAACCCCCGAATTTTGGCTTGGTTTTGGTGGCCTGATGCATTATCTTGATGACTGCGAGCTCTGTTCTTGGTTGTTTTCGCTATTTTAAAGGGATTGTGAAGCCAGAAATATAGAGAAACTGGCTTTTTGGGGCTAACCTGGATTTTGAGGTTGAGTAGCTCCTTTTCCTTCGGGTTTTTGGGGCTACGCTAATCTCTTACGATTAAACTATGAAAATGCCATTTTTTTAGACTATGGCTATTAACCTCATATATAATTATCCAAAGTCAATAATCTACTTCGATTAAAACCTTTTTGTCAGAATTTAAACCTTGACAGCGTTGTTTTGAGCACCAGCTCTAAAAACAAATTTGCTGATTTTCCATTGTTTTTTATTTTTATTTCACCTGAAAGTATCGAAAATTTTAGAATTATAGTTTTATGAGCTATTTAAAATTAAATCGAGCAATATAATTGAATTAGAAAAAATTCGAAGATTTTGAAGTCATTCGGTTATTTCAAAGCCATCGAAAACCTCATATTTCTATCATATTCTTGAACGGTCAGCAAGAAATTAAACCCTCTAGTGGAAAGTCAATTTATGAGGGGTATCTCTGTCTGTCCATTCGTCTTTTCCTCTGTCTGCCCTGAGGGTTGTAGACACAAGGTCACTCTTTGCATGAATATCCACCTCGGGCTCTTTCTCTCTCTTGCTCCCCTCTCTCCCACTAACCTCCTTCAGTCGATCCTCCCACCTGTGCAGTCAAATCCCCTTATTTACAGCCGGAGGGGGATCCGTTTCGATCCGTTTCGAGTTCCTAACAAATCCTTTTTTTGTTGAAATCTTATAGTTTTTCGTTAAGAGAGAGAGAGAGAGAGAGTGAGAGAGCGAGATTTTATGTGAGAATTCTATTTCGATTTGCATTTCCTTGGCCCACGTCCAAGAAACATCGATTTGTATGGGATTCTGGAGTCGAGAAACCCTCCTCCTTGTACCCCATTCCTTCCTTATGTCACTCGAGATCTCCCCACCCACGTCCTATTTATTTGCTTACCTAATGCATCCACACTCCACCGCCTAGTACCAGCTTCGTGAGTCGTTGCTGGCTTAGCCCGAGCCATACTTCAGTAGCTGGGAAGCGCTTTCGAATTTGATTTTCGCATCGTTTTTAGCGTTGTTTCAAGCTTTTCGGGCTTCGCGTTGACTAATGGCTTGAGCAGGGACGTAGCGTAAGGTGGCCCCCTGGGCCCGCCCCCCGAAATCGGCCTGGGCCCGAAAATTTCATGATTTTTATTTTCTCAAAAATTTTGCTGCCTGCGGCGCTATTTTTTCACGTTTTTACTGCTATTTGTTGAGTTACATTGCCTTTTTTCTAAAATCTCGCTGATTTCTTGTTACTTTTTTTGAGTTTTTCGGCAAAATTTTTCGACCCCCCCCCGAAATTTTTTTCTGGCTACGCCCCTGAGCTTGAGCCCGATTTTTTGGTGCTTTGTATGCTTATTTAAAGCGTACTTTCAAAGCATTGCCCTAAAAAAAATTTTCGAAAAAAATTTTATACTAAATTTTTTTACTGAAAATAATAAAATCATTTGGTCCTTGCGGGATGATTGTTCTGAAGCGTTCCGTAGCTGTCGAGACCTAGTCGATAGGAGGTCGATTTTCCACTTTCCTGACTACCATAAAAGTACGCCAAATCCGCGCAGCCCACCAAAAACGTGACCCGGCTCAATGACAAGCCCTCCAGCAAGCCAACAGTCCTATCTGTGCGCGTTTGTCTTTTCCTTTATCTCTCTCTCTCTCTCTCTCTCTCTCTCTCTCTCTCTCTCTCTGTCTCTCTCTCTATCCATCCGTTTGTCAACACTCTACACTAGCCCCTAGGGCACACAACACGCCAACAATCTATCTCTCTCTCACACACTCTCTCTCTCTCCCGTCATATTTGCTGATGTTCCGATTCGGGGGGTTGCTCTTCCTCCCAAGACGCGTGCCCCAGACTAGCATAAGAAGACAAGATCTGCATTCTCGGGCGCGCGCGAAATTATGCTAGTTTATGATTTCTCTCTTTCTCTAGCTCTCTCTCTCATCCTCGCTGATTCTCGGTCTCGCTTTCTTTCCAGGCGCTATCTCATCAGATCGGGTTAGATAGCTAAATTAACATTAGATTTCTCTCTCCTCTCTCTCTCTCTCTTTCTCTCTAACTCTCTTCTATAAATTTTAAGCTCGCAAAGATAAACAATAATTTTCAGGTCGGCCTCCTTCCAGATGCCTCCCGATGTGTTCGACATCGAGGAGGATCTGCGGGTACTGTAATTAATATAACTTAAGTACTAATTTTTATCTACTTTACTTTAGGTATAGAAATGAATTTTTCTAGAGAACCTCCACTGCGGCTACCCGGTTCAGCAACGATCCAAGTCGTGAGCATGCTCAAAGACTGGACGAAACTTTGAAGGTAGGGAGAGAGAGTGAGAGAGAGAAAGAGAACGAGAGAGACAGAGAGAGAGCGAGAGAAAGAGAGAGAGAGAGAGAGAGATAGAGATCATGAACCTGCTTTCAGTTGCTGATCTCGGCGACCAATGCCGTTCAACGAGTCGGAGGACTACGGCTGACAACAGCGACCTGTCTATCGGAATTGCTGCCACTCTGCCCGGTTCTGCTGACAAACCCTGATGTCGGTGATGGAACGCTGAAACATCTGGCGCAGTTTTTGTATAATTTGGGTAAGCCAAGTCTTAGCGCTATCTCTCTCTCTCTCTCTCTCTCTCTATCTAATTCTCTTATATTTTAAGGTATTCACAACGTCTCCCTCCGACGCTACATGAGCGCAGAATTGGAGCTTTGCGCATCGCTTTGGCAAGCTCTAAGAATTTCTCTGCGTGACCAGGCTGATCCGGACGTCTTGATGAGCTTGATCAAGCTTTTCCAGGTTTGTATGGCTCTTTTTTTATTTTGAAAATGCCATTCGATAGAGGACCGAAAAATATACTAACAATAAGAGTTTTTTTTACAGCCCGAAAAAAGCATATTTAAAAATACTTTTATCATATAAAAAGTTTGAGTGCCCCCCCGTTATCTCCCCCCCCCCCCCGTTATCCTATGTGTACCGATTTTTGAGTTTTCTAGTCCCTTTAATCCTGCCTTTTCAGGTACTCACCTACGAGAATTGCGTCGTGCTCGGCCCGTGGGCCAATGATTTGATTTCGTTTTTGATCCAGGAAGTGTAGGTTAATCTGGAAGTATCGAAAATCGACATTTCAGAATCCGGGAACCCGAGCCCGAATGGCTACCATTTGCCACTGCAATTTTGTGCAATCTTACCGTAAGATCGAAGAATGCTGGGGCGAGGATCAGGAAATCGGTACGTTCCGAGAAAATACTCATTCCGTTTTTAAAATAATGAAGGTTATTACGCTGAAGAAACCTTTGAGCCTACAGCATTCCCAACCCCCTCAAAAACGGTTTTTTTTAGTCCAACTACCGTCCGTTTTCAAAGAAGCTGCTCCACTTCCTTCAACACGACTCTCGATTGGTAACTTGCGGTAGAATTTTCGAATGCCTTGTTTTTAGGTTGTCGTCTCCTGCCTCGTGCTCGTCGGCTACCTTGCGGAAAAGCTGCGAGATGTGGTGAGCTTTTATCTACTTTCCACCAACGTGTGCGTAGCGTGTCGTAGCCCATGTACGTAGCGTATCCGTTACGTCTGCGTAACATGTGCTCTGCCTATGCGCGACGTGCCAGCAATTCGGTAACGTGTCGTGGCGCCTTTGTTGCGTGTGCGTATCGTTTCCGAGCAATTGCGCCGCGTGAGCGTAGCTTGTTCATGGCTTGGGCGTAGCCTGTGCGCCGCGTATGCCTAGCGTACGTGTGGCAAGTTCGTAACGTGTGTATGTGCACGTAGCGGGTGTGTGCCGTAAGAGTAGCGTGTGGCTGGCCCTTGAGTGGCGTAACCTATGCGTAACGTACGCGTGGCTTAGCGTATTTCTAGCTAATTCAATCCTTCCAGGTCTACGCCCCGGCCAACCTGTCCATGACGTTCAAGTGCGTTTTTAACGTATTGGCAATTGGTGAGGCCCCACTAACCCGACATGTGGCCTGCGACCTATTGAAACGGATGCTGATATCGGAGACACCTACGGTAGTTTCGCAGCGTTTTAAAAAGTCATAGACAAGTTTCAGGTATCCTCCCAGCCGCTGCCAACTTCAACCGGTCGTGAACTTGCGACTTACTCGGATTTTGCGGAGTGCATCCAAAAAGTTGCTGGGCTTTTGCTGACGCTGGATCCATTGCTAGAAGAGAGTGGAAAGGTGAGAGAGAGTGTGAGAGTGAGAGAGAGAGAGAGAGAAAGAGAGAGAGAGAAAGAGAAAGCGAAAGAGAGAAAGCGTGAGAGATCGAGAGGACGAAGGATCGAGAGAACAAGAGAGCGTGAGAGATAGAGAAATTAAGAGAGACATAGCGTGGGAGCGAGAGAGATAGAGAGAGAGAACGAGTGAGAGAGTGTGAGAGACAGCGAGGGTGAGTGAGAGAGAGAGGGAGAGAGAGAAAGATATTATTTCGAGTTTTAGCCGTTGGGACCTAGTCGATTATTAGGGTCGGTTTTTACACTTTCCAGCCCCTTAAAACTCAGTTTTTCAGATCCTGGAGCTCCTCACCTCCCTGTGCTCCCTACAAAATCTCCGCTCCGCCGTTTGTCAAGCGATTTTGCATTGGAGGAGTTCCGGCGGGGAGCTGATTACACCAATCAGCGGTGAGTACGGTATTCAGACTTTTGCCCAGGCTTAAAGGACCATTGAAGGCAAATCCATAGTTCCTAGGTTCTTGCAACTAACCAATTCGCACTACAGTATCGCGTCGGAAATAAGCAAATTAAATTCCAGTCCTCTCCAAGACAGCCTGCCTGCCCGTGTCGAACTCGATGGACGCCCAGACGCCGATCAGAGCTTTGAGGTTGCTGAATATACTTTTAAAGGTACGCTGAAGTCTAGAAATCCATTAGAAAGAAGCAAGAATTCTTACACAATTAAAGCATTTTTGCATTGCATGCATTGCATTTGCATACATTTTTAGGAGGCCGTCGATATGGATCGTCACGTAGCGGACTACATCCCAGCTCTTCGACTAGTTCAAATTGTGGAAGAAAACGTGAAAACAGATCTGGACACCGGATCTCCGAATGCTGGGACGAGATGTCAGAGGATAGCCGAGGGGTTACGGTTGGCTGAGGGTGCGTTTTAGAATTTAGAAAAACGGTTAGCTTACTGATGCATTCAAATTTTGCGAGCAATTGCCCATCAGCAACGTTTACCTGGCGTAATTAGATAGTCTCTGCTACCTGGCCGCTAGAAAGAACCACTCGGACCTCTGCTAGATAGCTAGTAAATCATCTTTTTTTCTTATCGAGTTCGTCTTAACGAAATGATCTTTTTTTCTGTTTTACCGTATAGTTCCTCAAGGGTTTCCGTTACATTTTGTCTACAGGCTAACGTAGATTAGATTTTCCTCAATGTTCTCTGCTCGCCTACCCAAAATCCTCAGAGACCTCTGCCAGCCCCTGTCAGTAATTGGGGGCTAAATTCCCTAATGTATCTCTGCTAGCTTACCCTAAAATTCAAAAAATCCTCAGAGGCGGAAGAGCCGCGAAATTTCCCAAGAATCTGTGCTAAGCTACCCAACCAATTCTGGGCTCAAAATATCCTAAATTTTCTTTGCTAGCTCCTCCTAAAGGAAGGAGTTATCGCTAGTCCGCTCAATCAGTCTTTTAGAACTTTGTCTTGAATGCCCTTTGCTAGCTTGCCCAACTTTGAAAAATTCCAAAGGTCGAGATCACGAAATTAATGCTCAAATTTTCAGTGCTTTCACGTGACGATGAAATCCGTGCCACTCTGCTTGGCGTCACTTCCAGCCAACTTTGCGGCCATCTGGCACAGTGCCAATTTCTGACGAACCCAGTCTCGGAGTATATGTCACGACCGCCACAAGCTAGAACTGATCCACTTCCGGAATGGAGGTAAGAATTGATAGTTATAAAATTTTAAAGGGGCTCTGCAGTCATGACTTTGATGACTTTCCTAAATTTTGAACATTTTAATTGAATACAGTACCTATTTTACTTAAAACGGCTAAAAAAATTTTTGAGACTATTTTCAATTGAATTTGTAAAAATTAGGGACAAAAGTGAACTAAAATTTATGAATTAAAAAAATAGAAACAAATAATTGTTAGCGAACACGGCACGTCGATCGTTCTGGCCCTATTTCTACTACTGAACTCCTTGAAAGACTCGTCAAAACCGCACAAGGAGCAGTACTGGAAGCTGTTAAGGGTGAGTTAATAAGACTACGTTTTTCCCTCGGCTCAATTACTGTAATCAAAAAATACATAAAAAATTATTTTAGGACGCTCGCCTGGTTCCGTTTTTGGCCTTCGCGCTGACGAGTGGACAACATCAACAGGCATGTTAAATCTTTTAAGTTTAATTGATTAGCTATGATGCAAATAGATCATTAAAACTTTTAAATTTGCGCCAATTTCTGAAAATACAAGTGAAATCCATCCGTTTCCAGGTGTTCAACGCGCTCTACGTCCTCTTCCACTGTGCCCAGGTGGACGAATTTGATCGGAGAGGGTCGGTTTTTCAAATCCAGATTAAAAATTATTGTTATATATTATAAAAGAATAATTATCGTAATCATATGATAAATAAATGCAAGATTTTTTAGACTCGCTGATATGGTCGCTTCAAACGTAATCGAAAAACAGCTAAAGTGGAAGCACGCCGTGGCAGCCTCGCTGGATACGAGCAGAGAAAATAGAAGGTATCTAATTTTTTGTTTAAAAAGGCCTATGCAAATGTCATAAACTCAGAGCCAGTCCCTAGCGCCTAGCAGAGTTTATTGAAGAAAAAGCAGCGTAGAAAACTACTTCGAATAGAGGTTCCAAAGCAAAAATTCGTGCATTTATCGCGAAGAACTTTCCAGGGACTAGTTCCCTGGCGTGCGGGGGCAGGCTAGCAGCGATTCTTTGCAAAAAAAAAAACGAAAAAATCATCAAAACCGCTATGGATTATAATTTTCTTAAATATTTGGTATATTTTTTTTCTAGGTCCACCGACTCGGAGGTGCTCACCGAAAAAGCTGAGGTGAGGACTTTTGCTTGATTTTTCAAATTTTCTGAATTTTCTAGACGTCAAATAGGGTCTCGTCCGTACTTGATGACGTCGTTAATCAACTTGGAAACGGGTTAGAGGTATCAAAACCTTAAAAACGTCAATTCAACTGTCAACTTCAGAACCGTACGCAGCCGTCCGCTTCACTAGTTGCCAGTCTCGAAGAGAAAATCGCCAAGCTACAAGGTACAAAATTTTTCGCCTGGCTTTACTGTCAATTTATGATGCTTTTAAAGGGACTAGGAAGGCAAATACTCATCGCTAAAATTTCTGGCTTGTCAATTCTCAATTTTTAGCTCAACTGACTAGCCGGGAAGCTTCACTGTTACATGCTGAGCGGCTGCAACGATTTGCGACTTCTGGAGAGTCTGAGGTAGAAAAGCGGAGAGAGAGAGAGAGAGAGAGAGAGAGAGAGTGAAAGAGAGAGAGACTGAGAGAGAGCGAGAGAGAGAAATAGAGAGGAAATAGATAGAGAGAGATAGCGAGAGAGAAAGAGAGAGAAATAGCAAGAGAGAGAGAGAGAGAGAGAGAGAGAGAGAGAGAGAGAGAGAGAGAGAGAGAGAGAGAAAGAGGGAAAGAGAGAGAGAGACATGGACAGCGAGAGCGAGAGAGAAAGCGATATAGAGATACAGAAAACGAGAGAGATAGTGAGAGAGAGAGAGAGAGCAAAAAAAGACACAGAGTGCGAGTAAAACCCTATTTTCAGCCCCTCTTCCTACGAACCGAAAATGAGAAGCTGACGGACAGAAATCGGATACTGGAAGCCGAGTAAGCTATGGACTACAAAAAATGTCTTTTTTAAGTCTATCCGATGCACTAGCAGCTAAAGAAGTTCTCGTGGAGGAAAACCGGAAAGAAATGCAAATTACGGCCCAATTCCGGCAGGCATGCCGGGAGATGACCGAGAAGTTTGAGAGGTAGGCTGGCGCCCTATGTTTTTGTAAAAATCTAATAAAAAATTTTTACCGCTTTGAATTCCGGAATTTGCAATTTTAAACGGCTTTTTATTATAGAGCCTCCAGCCTGGCTCTCGAAAAACAAGCGAAAAATGAAGAACTAATGCTCGACAAGAAGATTTTGACGGACGACTTGGCAGGTAAGCCATAATTTCTTTACAATCGGTCTGCATCGTTCAAGTTTTTAGTTTTTTCGCTAAAAATTACATTTTTGTAGAATCAAGAAGACAAACCGCCGAGCGGGACACCGAAATCCTGGCCAAAAATGAGAAGCTCGGATCGCTGGAGGTCGAGCTAGCCGCAAACAAACGAAAAGCCGTAAGCTTCCTTGTCTAGCAATTAAAGGATCTCTGCTGCTAACGCTTCTCCTTTCCTAAAGAATCTTTGCTAGCCTCCCTTTCCTCTGTCTGCTAACTTGTCGTAAAAAATTCAAGGCATGCTAGCAGAGATCATCGCCAAAATCTCGAGCAAATATTTATGGCTTTTAGACGGCGGCCAACAAACAACTCGAAGACTGTGAGCGTCGACTGGCCACCGTCAATTCGGATGCAGAGCAACGAATCGAGGGGATACGGTAGAATATTCAGTTTTCAGGGCACATTGAATTTTACAGAAAAATGTACGAAATGGAGCGCCAAATGGAGAAGAAGGCGGTTGATGCAGAGAGGGCGGGCTTGGAAGCGATTATTAGGGAATTGAAGGAAAAGGTAGTTGGACTGTCTCTTTCCCACTTTCTGTCTCTGTCTCTCACTGTCTCTCTCTCTCTCTCTCTCTATCTCTCTAGGACAATAATCCAAAATATGAAATTTACACTAATATTACACAATTTTTAGGCGACCGCTGCTGAAGCCGAAAATCTCAAACACGCTGCGGAACTCGAAAAAATGAAGTCAGTCTGGAAAGAGATGATGAAGATCGGCCAAGGCCTCTAAAAAAATATTTTTTTTCTTTGATTTGCTGTGACTTTATCGCTTATTTTTGACCTAGCGAATGATTGCTTTAATTCTCTCTCTCTCTCTCTCTCTCTCTCTCTCACTCTTTCGCTCTCTCCCATTGTCTTTCTCTCATCCATCACTTACACACGTTGCTTTCACACTTCACGGGTCCTTTTATCGATTGGATTGATAAACAAAAATGGTTGTGCTTATTTTACCGAACAACATGATAAACTGCTATGGTCCACAGCCTAATACACTGTATGCTTAAAAAAAGACGGACATAGTGCCAAAAATCCCCTCTTTGGAAGTTTAGATTAGGACGGAAGCGGTTTCTCACAAATTTAATGGCGTTCGTTTCCGTAATTTGGAGTTGCGGATAACTGTCGAGACCTAGTCTAGGGCGAGGTCGATTCTGGCGCTTGATTCTCCCTTTAAAATAGAATGTTTAAATTTTAGCGAAAAACGGAGGACACGGGAGAGGGAAAATGAGAGAGCGACAGGTGCGGAAAAGAGATAGAGACTGTTCCAGGGAGAGAGAGGGGGAGAGGGAGAGAGCGAAACGAAATTTGGCCCGGTTTTACGGTAAAATCTCTCACTTCTATCTCATGCTCTCTCTTTCTCTCTCTCTCTCTCTCTCTCTCTCTCTCTCTCTCTATCTCTCTCTCTCTCTCGCGCTTCTAACCTCCAAATTCTGAATTTCCTCCCCTAACAAATATGCAGTGGCCCTCACCGTGTCCCCCAAATTGTCAGGTGTCCTCTTCAGATGCTTATCTCCACCCCATTTTGGTGTCAGCATTCATTCCGCTCTGTCTTTTCAGCTGTCTTGTCCCCTCATCCCTTTTTGTGTTTTATTTTCTTTGCCCTGCCTGGCGACCCCTTCCCGATCGGCCAACGCATCGATTTGGGGCCAGCTGGCCGATATTCAGCCGGGGGTCCTTTTTGTATTGTATTCGACACCATTCAACCATTTCTCGCGCCACGCTTGGTCGTATTTATGCTTATTACTGTTAAGTTGTCGTATTAGGAAATTTTGCGCCTCTAAAGGAGCTGGGAAGCCCGAAAATCAACTCCCTTAAATCGACTAGGTCTCGACGGCTACGCTACGATGAAAATTACGGATCATTGTCGAGGCAGATTTTTTTAAAAACAGACCTTGATTAGGCAAAATTCGACACTTTAAATGAACTGGGAAGCCGGAGAATCGACCCCTCCCATCGACTAGGTCTCGACAGTTACCCTACATTAATACATTTCTCTTTCGCAGGGCTGAATTATGCTGAAACTAAGGTTTCTTAATTAAATCCGGCCGGAAAGTCGGCCCCTCAAATCGACTAGGTCTTGGCAGCTACGCCACACTCCAAATTACGCGTGCTTACACTACAGATTTTTTTGCCCGAAAGCTTATAAATTTATTGACGAAGCCAGCACTTTTTACGCGTAAATTTTTGCCTCTAAAGCCGTTGGAAAGCCCGGGATCAACCCACGGATCAACCTATTACGCTTCGACAATACTCCAAATGACGCTACCAGCGTCGCCTGAACTTTGCTAAATATGCTATAAAAATTATTTTAGGCGTCAGTTGTAGTTCCTCATAGCTGTCGAGACCTAGTAAAGAGGAGAGTCGATTATCGGGGTTTCTCATCCCTTTAAAAATCAAAATTGTTGCTCGGATTGCTCATATCCGGGAAAAAGCAATTTTCTAAGGCTCTCTGCTGTCTTGCTCGTCCGTAGAATATTTTTGGGATCAGTTTTTTCGCAGTTTTTATTACTGGTTTATTCCACTGATTTTATTTGGAAAAAATTGGCGTTTCAGGCCGTGAATGTGATTCCGAAGCTACAATTTATAACCTTGGTTTTTTGTATCGAAGTTTAAAAAGAAAAATCGAAAAATGAACGCAATCGGCTCGGGGGATTTGGATAAATTAAAGGTTTTTGGCCAATTTTTGTCAATTCATGGAAATTAGGTGATATTTCTCGGGGCATCGGGCGTCGGCAAAACTACCGTAATCACGAAATTCATCGACCAGTGCTTTGTGGAGACAAATATCCCGACGATCGGTATCGATTTTACCGGGAAAACGGTGATTGTCGATGGGAGGGCTGTCCGGATCCAGATTTGGGATACGGCTGGGCAGGAGGTAAGTGTTTTAAAGGAGCTATGATGGTAGGATCGACCGTTTCCCTCTACTAGGTCTAGAAAGCTACGCGACACCGGAAAAACCTTGGATCTAATCTTAAAAATCTTTCAGCACCCGAGCCTAAAGGCAGTAGAAAGCTTCGGAGTCGATCCGTTTCAGCGCCTAGGTCTAGACAGCCCCGCAACACCCCAAATAACTTTTTTCAGGTGTTTTTGATACATTTTGGCTGTTATATTTCAAAGGGGGCCTTGCTGCTGGTACCTAAAGGGGCTAGGAAGGCAGAATTGACCCCTTCCAGCGTCTAGATCTAGACAGTTATGCGGCACTCCAAATAAAGTAGATGAACTCATTTTGGAGAGAAAGGGGGACCGGACGGTTTAAAAGGCCGTCCGCCAGCCACCCGAACAGGCCCCATTATGGCTTGGCACAGTTTTTTTCGACCCTGTTTTTTTTGACGGCATCGGATAGAGCATGGCCAAATTAGTAGGGCTGCATAGTTTTGAAAGTTCAAAAAGTTTAATTTTGGGGTTTAAATGGGCCTCAAAGTTGCCGACCTCAAAAAACTATCTCGAAAACTATTGAACCAAATTCGCTAAAAACTTGTGTCAATACCTAATTTGGCATCAGGATCATTTCTCTAGTACATTGCAGAACTCGAAAATGACCGGAACAGGGTTAAATCGAATGGTAAAAACAGTTTTTCGACATTTTCGAATTTTGGGGGTCGTCAGCGCCACTTGAAATCGGCATAGAAAGATGCGGCAGATTTTTCTGCGTCGAATGACGTATCGGTTAAGTGGCGCTTAGGACCCCCAAAATTGTTATAACGCAATTCATGCATCAAAAACGCACCAAAAATTACCTCTGAAAATACAAACTTGTGACTTTTTAAAATCTGAGATATGGGATCGCATCTAGAAGACGAGCTGAAGCGATTGCAAAAAAGAGCAAAAAGAAATTCGGCTTCTAGGGGGGGGGCTGGGATTGAACTGGCGCCACCTCCGCCTGGGCCGCCCGGCGCACTACTCAGTGCGCCGGCGTGCCAAGGCGGAGGTGGCGCCGGTCTCATTCCCGGGACCGGGCTGAAAGAAGCCGAATTTCTTTTTGCTCTTTTTTGCAATCGCTTCAGCTCGTCTTCTAGATGCGATCCCATATCTCAGATTTTAAAAAGTCACAAGTTTGTATTTTCAGAGGTAATTTTTGGTGCGTTTTTGATGCATGAATTGCGTTATAACAATTTTGGGGGTCCTAAGCGCCACTTAACCGATACGTCATTCGACGCAGAAAAATCTGCCGCATCTTTCTATGCCGATTTCAAGTGGCGCTGACGACCCCCAAAATTCGAAAATGTCGAAAAACTGTTTTTACCATTCGATTTAACCCTGTTCCGGTCATTTTCGAGTTCTGCAATGTATTAGAGAAATGATCCTGATGCCAAATTAGGTATTGACACAAGTTTTTAGCGAATTTGGTTCAGTAGTTTTCGAGATAGTTTTTTGAGGTCGGCAACTTTGAGGCCCATTTAAACCCCAAAATTAAACTTTTTGAACTTTCAAAACTATGCAGCCCTACTAATTTGGCCATGCTCTATCCGATGCCGTCAAAAAAACAGGGTCGAAAAAAACTGTGCCAAGCCTTCTTCGGGTGGCTCGCAAACGGTCTTTTAAAGGACGGTAGAACTTCAGAGCCGCTTCGGCCGTAGTTTGGAGCTTCGCGTAGGTCGACTCTCAGGTTTTTGGCTTCCATTTAAAGGGCTGTTGACATCGTTTTCTTCTGTTATACGGATACTGCCGTAGATTAGCATTAAGGGGATCGTGACACAACAATCCAGCCTTGCTGTGAAAAAAACATGTCAAAAATTTTGTTTTTAAGAGATTTTTCTTATTTCAGCGTTTCCACAGCCTCATCCCGGCCTATATTCGAGAGGCCAGAGGGGCAGTTGTGATGTTTGATGTGACGAGCCGCGATACCTTTGCGGAGGTTTGTTTATAGACCTGTTTTACCTCCGTATCTTACCTTACCGTTTCTATATGTACGTCTACGCATAAGTACGCCCGTACGAAACGTAAAATACTGGTAAAAACCGTAATTTATAGATCACAATCTGATCTAAGAATACCAGCTTTCCAGTTGCATAAATGGGTGGATATCGTCCGAAAAAAGAGCACCAATGATGTGGCAGTCATGATTTGCGGGAATAAATCGGATAGAGAGGACCGAGAGGTCATTTATTGCTTCCTACCGTAACCCTGTGACCGTCCCTTTAGATTTCCGAAGAAGAAGGGAAGCGGATGGCCGTGGAGCTGGGAACGACATATTGCGAAACTTCCGCAAAAGCTGGCCACAATATTAATGCACTTTTCGAGGCGATAGCGCGGCAGGTGGGCAAGCTAGCAGAGATTATTTGCAAAAAAGAGTAAACGTTCTATAGGAGCTTTGACGCCAAATTTTTTCTCACTCTCGCTCTCCCTCCTTCTCTCTCTCTCCCTGTCTCTCTCTCAGGCTCTCTCTCTATGTCTGTCTCTCCCTCTATGTCTGTGTCTCTCTATGAATGTCTCTCTCGCTGTCTGTCTCTCTCTTTGGCGCTATCTATCGCTCACCCTCCATTTTAAAGGACCAGTGAAGGCAAATCTGTAATCTATCCAAATTTTCAGTCCCTGGCCACTACCCACGAGGCTCCTACAGAAGAAAAAGTGGTCCTAGACTCGTTCGAGGCGCATCGTGATCGCGAGAAAAATTCGTGTGCCTGCTGACCGGATGGATGGTGGCTGACTGACGACGAGATTTTGAAGCGAGATTCTTCGGGCTGCGGGTACGGCAATAGACACATGCACTGACGGCTCATCCTCACAAAAATACTACTTTGGTTGCGAACTTACGTGTCCGATCCTATTCTCTTGTTTTTAAAGAATTTTTCTAGAGACTTGCAGAAATGTCTTTAATTTTCGCTGAATTTGTGACTATCCTTTTCATTATTTATTTGTCGTATGCAACGCCAAAAATACTGGATAAATTACTTGGTTCCGGCTGAAGCATCGATTCATTTTGGCGCTTAGAATTCTGAAAAGATGTGCATTAAGTAGAAAAAATCCCGTAAAATACAGAAACAGTGACCGAAAGGCGACGAAAACGTTTCCGCCGGCAACCAACCGACAGAGATGGCTGATAGTCATCAGCTGTTGCTTCTAACGACCCTCAAATATTTCTCTCCACTATCTCTGCATCATCTCTCGCGCTCTCTCTCTCGGTTCTTCTCGCTCTCCCTCACTTTTTCTCTCTCTCTTTCTCTCTCAATCTTTCTCTTTCTCTCTCTCTCTCTCTCTCTCTCTCTCTCTCTCTCTCTCTTTGTCTCTCTCTCTCTGCCTGCTCTCTCTCTCTCTGTCTCTCTCTCTCTCTCTCTCTCTCTCTCTCCGTGATGGACTATCGTCCCAACATCCATGCATAATCACAACATCTACAGCAAACTTTCAAAAATCCCCTTCTCGCGCGCGTACTCTTTCTCTTCTCTCTCTCTCTCTCTCTCTCTCTCTCTCTCTCTCTCTTCTCACTCTCGCTTTCTTTTTGTCTTTGCCTCTCTCTGCCTGCTCTCTCTCTCTCTCTCCTCTCTCCGTGATGGACTATCGTCCCAACATCCATGCATAATCACAACATCTACAGCAAACTTTCAAAATCCCCTTCTCGCGCGTACTCTTTCTCTTCTCTCTCTCTCTCTCTCTCTCTCTCTCTCTCTCTCTCTCTCCCTCTCACTCTCGCTTTCTTTTTGTCTTTGCCTCTCTCTGCCTGCTCTCTCTCTCTCTCTCCCTCTCTCTCCGTGATGGAATATCGTCCCAACATCCATGCATAACCACAACGTCTACTGCAAATTTTCAAAAATCTCCTTCTCGCGCGCGTACTCTTTCTCTTCTCTCTCTCTCTCTCTCTCTCTCTCTCTCTCTCTCTCTCTGTCTCTCTCCCACTCTCGCTCTCTTTTTGTCTTTGTCTCTCTCTGCCTGCTCTCTCTCTTTCTCTCCCTCGACTCGCCGTCCCAACCACCATTCATAATCACAATGTCGACAGCAAATTTGCAGAAATCTTTTATTCATGATTAGAAAACGCCATACGAGAAAGAACATATACAAAAACGGCCGGTCACGGGATACCCAGGCGTGTTACGATACATAAAAAGGAAGGTCGGCGACGGGCGCATCATCGGCCAGGACCTCCTGAAAAAAAACATTGAACATCGAGTGCTTTCACATTATCCGGTGGCCAACCAATTTTTTTCGACAATCAGCGCGAAAAATTCTGCACAAGGTACGCTTGGTCCCGAATGGAATTTCCATCCTGACCAAAAACACTTTACTGTCAGCCCCAGCTTTTCAGCCATAAGTCCTATTAATGCGTAGAGTATTTCAAAATGTGCGCCGGAGTCGAATTACCATTTCCTTACATCAAAATTGCCAGAAAATTTTGATAGCAATTATAAGTATGGGTTTTCCTTACTTAATTTTTACTGGCCCAGAGTGGGTTTTCGGCGTCCGGTCACTACCCCCGAGAGTCGCTTCCGAAATAGCCCCGACCCCGAAAAGTCATTACACCGAAAAGTCACTACCCCGAAATCGTTTACCCCGAAAAATGATCGCATTGTTTTTCCCGGAAAAATCCAGTTTTCATGCTGTTTTCCTATGAAAATCATGCAAATTATTTCGGGGTAGTGACTTTTCGGGGTAGTGACTTTTCGGGGTCGTGACTTTCGGGGTCGTGACTTTCGGGGTAGTGACTTTTCGGGGTAGTGACTTTTCGGGGTAGTGACTTTTCGGGGTAGTGACTTTTCGGGGTAGTGACTTTTCGGGGTAGTGACTTTTCGGGGTAGTGACTTTTCGGGGTAGTGACTTTACCCCTAATTTGAATTTGACGCCGAAGTAGGTTTAGGCATCGCGACTTAGTCTTTTCACATTTGAATACCTTGTAAAAAGTAAAAAATTTCTATTAAATTTTGATGTAAAAAAGAACTTATTAATAGTAATTCGACCATGGTAATGATTTTGAGATACTCCACGCATTAATGGGATGTATGGCTGAAAAGTTGCTGCGGTGGGGGGACTAGACTGGTACCAAGCTCCAGCCTACCATCATTTGGCCGCAAAAAGTGATGCTTGGACGTGTCGTATTCGGTTGATTCTCTACTTGGGAGGTTCCATGGCCCCCTTGACGTCGGCGAGGAACCCGTCGATCCTGTCCTTGTGCTCCGGCACTCGGGCCTAAACACAAAGAAGTAACTCTTAGGGGAAAGCCCGAGGCGGTGTACCTTGATGTACTCCAGCACCGACATGTAGACGACCATGTACTGATCGGGCTGCGTGATGGCGTCCGGGCGAACGCTGCGCAGCTCATGCCACAAACCGAGCACCTAGAATTTCGTTGACTTGAGGGCCCATGGGTCCACGGCCGGTTAGAGTTCAGTAAATCGAAAACTTCAACCTACAAACCCCCGGCAAAAACTTAAACTACTTACCTAACTAAACCAGGTAAGACTCTAGTTTACCCCCCCAGCCGTAACTTTTCAGCCATACGTCCTATTAATGCGCCGAGTATCTCAAAATGTTCGCCGTGGTCGAAATACTATAAAAAAGTTGTTTTCTTGCGGCAAAAATTGCTAGAAATTTTTTTACAAGATTTTGAAAGTTGAAAAGATTAAGCCGCTGTGCTTCAATGTACCAGGAGCCTAAAACTCAAATATTTTTATTTTCCGCTATTTTTTCGACTCAAACGTATCTTTCGACTATTTTTTTCGACGACATTTTGAGATACTCGGCGCATTAATAGGACGTATGGCTGAAAAGTTACGGCTGGGGGGGGGCGTAAACTAGAGTTTAGCCCTAACAAGGAGTGGTTTTTGAGTGTCATTGGCAAATCCCTTAGCGACCTAGTTCATTCGACAGAGAATTGAATTCTGAACAACCTCCCGGTGTTCATTTTTGCAAAACGGCTCTCCCCGATTTTATAAAATTCAAAAACTAAAAATTGAATTTTGGCCAACTGTCGGTTCGCCGCATCAAAATCCTGATGCCCGCTCTAGGAGAAGAGGCCTTCAGCGCGGCCCCTTTCAGCATCAGGCGCGGCGCAGTGGCTAACGCGGCTGCCTTCCAAAATTTCTTTTTCCATCTTTTGCAAGTTCGGTTCTTGTAGATGTAATTTGTTTTGCTTTTTGTATTATAAGTGGCCCCAGTATTTTTAAATAGGTTGTACCTCCAATTTAGAGGACTCACACTAACCTGGATCATAATATTTGTTTTTGTTGTAAATTTTCCTGAAAGCGCGCAGAGCAGCCAACGTTGTAATAAGTATTGTTTTGAATCCTTTAACTTATTTAAGCGTCTGCAAACGCTTTTATTAACAAAAAGCAAAACAAGTTTTCTAGCAAGGATCCGAACTTTCCACCAAGATGCAAAAAATTTTTGAGGGCGGAAGCCTTTACCACTAGGCCACGTCCCCTGCTGAGAGGGGGAGGCGGAGAGAGCTCATGTCCTAGGGGGATTCCAGGAGGCTGGCCGCGCCACACGTGGTACGTAAAATTCAATTTTTAGTTTTTGAATTTTATAAAATCAGGGAGAGCCGTTTTGCAAAAATGAACACCGAGAGGTTGTTCAGAATTCAATTCTCTATCGAATGAGCTAGGTCGCTAAGAGATTTGCCAATGACACTCAAAAACCGCTCCTTGTAAGCCACTTACAATTAGTTGCCTTCCTCATGGCTTCCGATACCCCCCCATAGCCGAAACCCCCTTAAAAAACGACTTCGATACCTTCCTGATGGCTTCAGATACAGCCCCTAGCCGAAATCCCTTAAAAAAACCAAAATAACAACCGACCGGATACGTCGGAGAAAAAAGTAATCAAATGGCTCCCGTGAAAATTTTCATCCACGAAACGCGCGCCACCTGGCTCACTATGTCCAAAATTATCTCAACCTCCGTCCCCACTCCTATTACTAATGAAAAAAACTTTCAAAGTTAATTTTAATAATTTAAACTAAAAGTTTTTCATAATTTTTTTATCAGTTTCGGGGTTTTTTGACCGCGCTCTATCCGAATCCGAAGAGACCTAAGCTCTAGCTCCTGAGTTGAATTCGGCTTCACACAGACGGACGGACGGACGGAGACCACGGCAAAATTATTATAGTTGTGATCTTAGGTCCGTGATCCCGACGTCCGACCGCGACCGTCTCTCTCCTCTCCAAAACTCTCCAAAATCTTTGAACAATTTCCCCCGCCGCACCCACCTCAACTTCAGTGCCGACGAGCAGGCGAGACAGGATGACGCGCATCATGATGAAGACGGCCGACCAGGCGGCACCCGACGAGCATTGGACCACGAAGAAGCAATTCTGAAAGACTTGGTAAGACTCTCGTGCACCCCTCACCCCTACCCGCCCCCAACTTTTCAGTCAGGCGTCCGGTTAATGCGTGGAGTATCTCAAAATGCTCGCCGTGGTCGAATTACTATCCAACAACTGTTTCCTTACATCAAAAATTCTTAGAAATTTTTTTACAAGATTATATAAATTGGACAGGATGTCGCAATGGTTCATTGTACCGCGGGTTTCACACCCCAATATATCCATTTTTTTGATGTTTTTTTCGACTCGACCAGTACAGTACAGTAGCCTTATTCTACAGAGCAAGAGCTACATTTTGGTACTATTGACAGCGCTGTAGGTTTAAGGAGCGCCGAGAGACGAAAACTCACTTTGGACCAGCAAAAATTAACTAAAGAAAACCCAGACTTATAATTGTTATAACAATTTTTCTAACAAATTTTTACATAAGGAAGCTGATTTGGGCTAAGAAATTCGACCATGGTGAACATTTTGAGGTATTCGGCGCATGAATAGGACCAGGCCCGTAACCGTGGGGAGGGAGGGGGGAGTGCCCCCTCTCCCGAAATCGGCCGAAGACCGAAAAGTTCATAAGGGAGAACCCTTATGATTTTATTTTTTCAAAAAAATGTTTTACCTGCGGCGCCTTTTTTAGCTATTTTTAAAGGTACATTCCGCTCTCATTCTGAAACCCTGGTTGGCATTGGGAATTCGGTTGCCGGGCGGCGCGCCCAAAGACTCTTCGTAGCCCCGGACTCCCTTCCCTCTCCCGTCTCTCCCATGGCCTACTGGTCTGTGGCGCTTGTCCCAGGCCAAGTGGTCCGGGTTCGGTTTTGCCGTACGTTTCGCACATACCGTAACCTTGCATGCTAAAGTGCTGACTATTTCCAGATCTTGAAATTATCAACGAGAGCGGAATGTCCCTTTAGCACTCGTTTTATTGTTATAAACCCCATGTTTTCAAAAATTTTGCCTCCCGCGCTGCAGTTTTAGGTCGATTAGTCAAAAATTTTTGACGCCGCCGCACCCCCGAAATTTTGCGTTTGTTACCGCCCTGAATAGGACGTATCGGTGAAAACTTCTAGCTGCGGGGTGGGGGGAAACGCGACTTTAGCCAACTAGAGTTTAGCCGAAACGGAAACCATACAATGTCTTCCTGCCGGCCGTGGGATGTGAGACGAGCCATCGCACGCGCCTTGCCGCCGATGTCCTCTGGACAGGATGGGTGGACGAAGTGGGGCCGAGAAATCTCGGTGCGGTATCCGCCCTCCCCCTCCTGGACCGGCTGGTTCTGGCAGGTGTAGGTGCGGACACCGCCTTTGTTTGTCATCTATAATATTTGCATTACCAAGACGGTCCCCTTATCCAAATTTGGGCTAAACTCGAGGAACCGCCCCCCCCCCCAGCCGCAACTTTTCGGTCAGACGGTCTATTAATTTCGGCCGGGCGAACATTCTGATATACTCCACTCATTAACAGGACGTGTGGCTGAAAAGTTGGGGCTGGGAGGATTCCTAGACCGTTACCAAGGACACTGCCAGACAGAGAGAGAGATAGATGGAGAGCGACAGAGAGAGAGAGCGAGAGAGATAGAGAGAGAAAGATAGAGAGCGAAATAGAGAGCAAGAGCGAGAGAGGGAAAAAGAGGCAGAGAGAGATAGAGAGACCGAAAGACAGGGAGCGAGAGAGAGAGAGAGATGAAGAGCGACAGAGAGAGAGAGAGAGCGAGAAAGATAGAGAACGAAATAGAGAGCAAGAGCGAGAGAGGGAAAGAGAGACAGAGAGAGATAGAGAGACCGAAAGACAGAGAGCGAGAGAGAGAGAGAAAGAGAGAGAGATGGAGAGCGACAGAGAGAGAGAGAGCGAGAGAGATAGAGAGAAAGATAGAGAGCGAAATAGAGAGCAAGAGCGAGAGAGGGAAAGCGAGACAGAGAGAGATAGAGAGACCGAAAGACAGTGAGGGAGAGAGAGAGAGATAGAGAGATAGAACCTGAAAGTCACTCACATGTTGCTGGTACGGCATGAAGTCACCAAAGCGGCACTGATTGGTGTCGCGCGTGATGACTCCGGGGAGGCCCGGCTGCGGCCAATAGTTGGCCCCGTTTTCCACGGGATCGAAATTGTTGAGGCAGAACACCGACGGTGTCTCGCTCTTCTCCGTTATACCCTAAAGAAATGTGTTTCCCGTGGTGTAAGTGGCTGTGTTACCGGCATTCCCACCGCCAGCGTCTCGAGCATCTTGCAAAAATCGCCCCGAGTCTCGGGCAATGGTGCCTGCGTGGTAACCCAGTTGACCGGGCACCCTGCAAACGTGGTTGACGCAGAAGTACAGGGTGCGGCAAAAGTATTGTCGCGACTTTACGCCGACTGTATCTGCGAGGAAATTTGACAGATATTCTAGCCAAGAATCTATTTGATGCGGTTTTGAATGCTTTATCGGATAATAAGATTTACTTCTGGAATTTTTGCTTTTTTTGTCGCCAGGACAACTTTTTCCAAAACGCCTGCAAATTCAAGCCTAAAAACTGCTTTTTAGACGCTCTCTAGGTGGCCAAAAAATGGTACCTACGCCAAGCTTTTTATTTCATTTGAAAGAGCATATAAAACTCTGCCTGAGAAACCATCAACCAAAGAATGTTGCGGCTCCCTTTTTGAGGGAGCCCTATTCAAAGCAAAGACAAACCCAGTGCGCCGCACATGGTCGCCCCGTATGCAAAAGCGAGATTGTGTCGTCCGCAAAGCAATGATAGCCTGGCTATTTTTTCTCTGCTTGATTCAGGCTACTCTTTATCTAATCCCGAAGTTTGAGCCTAGTCATCCCGACCTGGTTCGAAAACATAAGCTTCAATGACTGCTTGCAAATGCATAATAATTTTTTTCAAACCGAAGGTGGATAGCTATCAGGATTTAGCGCATCATGCACATTAAAATAAGCAAACAGGAAGAATAATAATATAATTTTACGTCATCCCCTGAGAGCCCCTTTAGAAACTAAAAACCCAAAAAACCCAAGCTTCTCGGGAAACCGGCCAGATTAGCTGATTTTCGTCAAACATGGCTGAGGCCATAACTCCTTCAAATCGCAAAATTATAAGATTTCCATTTTGGACGACTGAGAACAAAGTAAATGCTACCAGAAACGCATATGAAAAGTCATGTTGACACGTAGTCTCCGAATTTAGAACCCTATTTCGACGAACTGAGGGCGCGGCGCACCGTGATTTTTGGTTGTGTACATCATGCGATGAAACTCGCTCAAAAATCATGATTCCAAGAAACTTTCAAAAGCAGATTGCTGCCTTGGACCCGTCTGAAGCTAACCCTGTTGACAAAACTTCCCGATTTTTTGTCGCGAATCAGATATGAGACAAAAGCTCGCGACAATACTTTTGCCGCACCCTGTATAGTAAGCGCTTTGGTAAGAGTCTTCGAACGCCCACAGCCGCAACTTTTCAGCCATAAATCCTATTAATGCGTAGAGTATCTCAAAATTCTCGCCGTGGTCGAGTTATTGTACCAAAAGCTGTTCCCTTACATAAAAAATTGCTAGCAAAAATTTTATAACAATGATAAGTACAAGAGCTACATTTGAATACAATTGACAGCTTGGCAGGTCTAACTGTAACCCTTTGATGCTCGAAGTAGAATTCGTTTCGTCAGATAGCACATGTTGTGCAGAATTTTTCGCTGATTCCGAATCCGTTTTCAAAAGTTGCGGAACCCCTCAGATTAAAAAGTTACAAGCCTTTTTAATACCTAAACCAGCGCCCAAAACCCGCTTCGCGGGCCTTGGGCGCTGGAATGCGGCCTTTGCATGAGGAATTTGACTTTCCGATAGCTTGGGTCCTTCGGACCCTTCCCTTCCTCCGACCACACCCGCGCGTGCAACTTGCAAGAATGAGAAATTTGTATTTTTTTTGGAATTATGCAAAGTAGCCCTCCCTGGCGCCGGACACACACACACACAGAGATACACTCCAAAATTATATAAGGTAGGAAATGCCACAAATCGCTTACTCGAAATTCCTCTAAAAATTCGATAAAATTTTTGGTATAGGCTGATAATGCCGATTCACAGAATGCCGATTCACAGAATGCCGATTTACAGAATGCCGATTTACAGAATGCCGATTTACAGAATGCCGATTTACAGAATGCCGATTTACAAAATGTCGATTCACAGAATGCCGATTTACAAAATGCCGATTTACAGAATGCCGATTCACAGAATGCCGATTTACAGAATGTCGATTCACAGAATGCCGATTTACAGAAAGCCGATTTACAAAATGTCGATTCACAGAATGCCGATTTACAGAATGCCGATTTACAAAATGCCGATTTACAGAATGCCGATTTACAGAATGCCGATTTACAAAATGCCGATTTACAGAATGCCGATTTACAGAATGGCGATTTTACATAATTTGGGTTCTACATCCAAAAATACAAACCGGATCCCCAGAAAAATCATTATCCGACGTGAACATGGCGAAACCGCTGGACCTGAGGCCTAGCTTTACTATGTTCTTTTATTTTCAACTGCGCGAGATGTGCTATCTCATGTCCGAATTTGCGAAATTTCCGAACCCAAATCTATAATCGTTATAAAAATTCTTCTAGAATTTTTGATGTACTGGAAACAACTGTTAGGAATAGTAATTTGACCATGGCGAACATTTTAAGATACACCAAGTCAAATCTGTCAAAATCTCGAAAATCAAAATCTCGAAAATCAGAATCTCGGTAAATCCAGCAGAGGCATATTTCGAGATTCCAAAAATTCGAGATTCTGAAAGGAATGGTGTATCTTAGGACTTTGGCCTGAAAAGCTGCGGCTGGGCGGGGGAGGGGGGGGATTTTGTAAACTTGAGCCAAAAACGTCGAAAATCTAGCCATTTCGTTTTCTCGCCGTTGGAGAGCCTGCGATAGATACCAAAATCGACTGCGCGCCGCTAGAGGGGGGTACTTTTTTAGGACACTCTCTAGTTATCTGGGCATCGCTGAAAAGGTTTGTTTCCGCCGGGAATCCGCAACCCCTTCCCCCATCTTCGCCGCCACGCGAATCCCAATTAACGTACCGGGTAGCTTAAAGATGTTTGCATTGATGTAGTCGGAGGCCCCGGCTTTCAAATTTTGCAGCCGGACACGAGTAGCATCAGGGCAAGGAATCAGCTGAAAACTGGGGGCGTCCCTGTTTGCAGATGGACCATTTCGCGGGATGTACGTCGCTATAGAGCGCTACCAGTCCATTGTGAAAAAGCGGTTCCCCTCCCTTATACAGGGTGTGTCAAAACGATAGAGCCACCTCTTTGAACGCTATTATCTCGGCCCTCGTTGGGTTTGTCGCCAAGCTAACTAGCAGGTCTTGTAGCGCTCGAAAAGGCGCATTTTTCCATCTATTGGATATTTTTCAAAAATAGAGCACGCGATTTTTATAGGGGAAAGAACAAATAGAGCCAAAAAACCGAAGTGTCAAAACGATAGAGTCACACTTTACTGATCATTAGCATCAGGTTTGAGCTTGCAAATTACATGCTAATTGCTAATACGAAGTTCAAGTCTATGCAGATTGACATCACTCTGAAAAAACCGGAAGTCAGAAATCGAAAGTCACCTTGAATGTTCATTAGCATGTAATTTGCACGCTCAAACCTGATGCTAATGATATGTAAAGTGTGGCTCTATCGTTTTGACACTTCTGTTTTTTGGCTCTATTTGTTCTTTTCCTTATAAAAATCGCGTGCTCTATTTTTGAAAAATTTCCAGTTCGCAATGCGCATTTCCAGTTTGCAAATGCGCATTTTTGAGCGCTACTAGACCTGCTAGTTAGCTTGGCGTCAAACCCAACTAGGGCCGAGATAATAGCGTTCAAAGAGGTGGCTCCATCGTTTTGACACACACTGTACAGGGTGTCCCATAAAAAACGTCCCATCCGGCATTTCGCCGTCTTACATCCGATCGGTCCCAAATTTGGACCAGAGGTGTATTGGACCTAAAATAACCACAATCCTCAATCATAGCCCGCCAGCTAGAGTAGTTTTCGCGATACAGCAAGAATAAACTTTATCATCCGTTTTTCGTGAGGTTTTCGTCGGAATAGACCCTTCTTACGCCCGGAAGCTTTTCGGAAAATTGAGTTGAAGCAAAAACCGACAAAACTTTCGTGACGACCTAATACTTTACGCACCTGTAGATAAACAGGGAGCCGTCTTACCAAACAAGCTTAGACATGGCATCGATTTCGAAAAGAATATCCAAAAAGAATCAAGCCTCGAACCCTGACCCTTCGGTTCAATCACCGCAGCACACCACCACTATGCTAGACCACCACTGGGAAGGGACAGTTTGAAGACGGTGACAAGGGCAAGCGCAAACCTTTGCCATCCGAGGAAAATCGGTTTTTTAATAAATACAAAATCCATTAAGGAATTTCTGAAAATGGTATCTTTTTCGCCATAGCCGATTACCCGATAGCCACTTGGTCCCATCCAGAATCTCGGGGATCACCTAGCGCACCTCCCTAGCTAGGTGGTCCACGAGAGCAACTCACAAGGAAACCCAACCAGCTCGAAGTTCGACTTTGGTCCGTGAGGTAGTTCATCGGATGCAGTTTTTTACGCTGATTCCGAATATGCAACTCATTTTTGCCAAGGCCTTTTAGTTTTCGAGATATAAGCTGTTTTCTGTAACACCCTGGCAAAACCTCAAAAGGTTATGAAATTTATTAGGCCGGGGTAAAAAAGATGGAGAACACTCTTTGTTAGGAACCAATTTTTGTTCGTTGTTTTTCGCGGTTGGCCGTTTTTCGGCTAAGATCTATAACGCTGGTCCTGAAAATACCCTAAATCAGGTTGTAAACCATCCTAACAGTTCCTGCTTGTCCATTCAGGCCAAAAGCAAAATAATTCCGGCTTATAAACCTTCTAGAGCTTCTACAAAAACTACAAACCAGGAATGTCAATTACCCGGATACGGTCACGCATTGATTTTTTCTAACGAAAACACAAATTAACGAAAAAAAAATTGAAAAAAGGTGAACGAAGTCGAAAAAAATCGTTTTTTGGTTCAAAATTCGAAAAATTTTCTCCGAAAATCATCGTCCGGGACTGATCCGGGCCTAGCGGGCCCGGCCCGGCCCGGCCCGGCCCGGACCCGAATTCCAGGCCCGGGCCCGGCCCGGCCCGCCAAGTTTGAGCCCGGGCCTCGGGCCGGGCCTTGCGGCCCGGCCCGTTGTCAAGGCCTGATCAAAAGGAGCATAACTCGAAAACTAAAGGGGCCTGGCAAAAATGAGCCGCATATACGGAATCAGCGTAAAAACTGCACAAGATGAAATATCCCACTAACCAAAGTCGAACTTGTAGCTGGTGGGGGGTTCCTTGTCAGTGTCGACTCACCAGGTTACGGTTCTTCTCGGGATGCTTGGCGAATTCGGTGGCTTCCAGTTGTGGATCGAAGTCGCATTTTTTGTTATACTGGCGGATGACGCCGTAAGGCCCGAGCTACAAAGGGGTGCGTGAATGGGCATCAGTGCCGAAAAAGCCGGAATTTTCAAATTTTCAAAAGTTTTAGGTGATTTTTTATAACTGGCTAGCGCTCAGATACTATTAAAACTACTATGAGAATACACACTATATTATTAGCACGTCGGTGGTATAGGCGAAATAATAAAAATTGGTCCCCCCCACGCCCCGCGTAAAAGTTCGCCTCCGCGTAGCCAACAGGTTGTCCCAAAAAAAATCGACCCCTCTAGCGGTCCAGAGAAAGCTCGGATCGGGCTGATTTTTACGTTATTCGAAAGCCCTTCTAACGGCGTGAAAACAAGCGCTTTTGGTTTTACAAAATTTATTTGTCCTCGCTCGATATTCGCTTTCCGATCAGAATCTCGAATTACGGTAAGACTCTAGTTTACCCCCCCCCCCCCAGCCCTAACTTTTCAGCCATACGTCCTATTAACGCGCGGAGTATCTCAAAATGTTCGGCGTGGTCGAATTACTATAAAAAAGTTGTTTTCTTGCGGCAAAAATTGCTAGAAATTTTCTTACAAGATTTCGAAAGTTGAAAAGATTAAGCCGCTGTGCTTCAATGTACCAGGAGCCTAAAACTCAAATATTTTTATTTTCCGCTAATTTTTTCAACTCAAACGTACTGTAGGCTTATTCTCCAGAGCAAGAGCTACATTTTGGTACCATTGACAGCTCTGTACGTCAAAATATAGCCGAGATACGAAAACTCACTTTGGAACAGCAAAAATTAACTAAAGAAAACCCAGACTTATAATTGTTATAAAAATTTTTCTAACGATTTTGGATGTAAGAAAACAACTTTTTTTATAGTAAATCGACCACGGGGAACATTTTGAGATACTCGGCGCATTAATAGGACGTATGGCTGAAAAGTTAGGGCTGGGGGGGTAAACTAGAGTTTAGCCCGAATTACAAAATCTCGAATGATTGGAATCTCGAATTTACAGAATCTCGAATGAACCAATTTTGATCTAGCAGAACACACCTTGGATCAAAATTTCCACTAACGGCCTAGTAATTGAAACCAAAGTAAGTGGAGTACCCAGAACCGAGAGTACTTAACGCTAATGTTCATCATAATCACCAGGGTTGAAAAGCCGTTTCGCGACTTTTTCACCCTGACCCCGTCTAACCCCATGCTTGTCAGCACTTTGCATTAACTCCTGAATTCCGATGCGAAGGATCAAAAGTGCCGCCCCGCTCCCATTATATCGACTACCTCGACTTCCGGCATATGCTAATTGATCCCCAACTAATAAAGGTCGTAAAAATTTCCCAAAAACTTAATTTTAATATCGAAAAAAGTTGATTTTGAAAATTCTAAGATATGTGCAGTCATCTAGAGAACATTACGCATCTAATGACGTATCATACATACCCCTAGATTGTTCCCCTATCGAGATATCACTGGAACACCATTACGGAAGTTGCATGCAAATGCACACACAGACGCTATTTTTATATATAGTGGATAGTAGGATTTGTAAAGTATGATGCTCAAAAAGGACGATCCCTCGCCAGGGCATACCCATAGCCTACTCGGTTCTATCTAATACAAAAAAAATCGATGCTGGATCGAGCCAGACGAAACTACGTTAGGATATCCGTGGGAATCCTGGCATTCGAAATTTGCTCCTTCGAGATGTTGACCATTCGGGATTCTGTCATTCGAGATTTTGTAAATTCGAGATTCTGATCATTCGCGATTCTAATCATTCGAGATTTTGTAATTCGAGATTCTGTAAATTTAACCGATATTCAAAATTTCTGAAAAAGCGCAAATCCGCATTGTCCTGTTAACTGAGCAAGCAATTCACATGCGGATTTTGCATAAAATTTGCAGTTTACTTGGATTATGGCCCTAAGTTCAGTGAATAAAAATGCCCATATTGAGAAACGAAAAGTGCCTGTTTTCTCGCCTTTCCGAGAGCGTTCGGTAGATATCTAAATCGTCAAAATCGGACCCTTCTCCGAGTCGCTAGGAGGGGTAGGGTTTTTTGGGACACCCTGTGCATATACCGAAAAATTGGTCCCCCCACTAAAAGCCCAGCACCGAAAACTCCACACTCACCTCACACGCATCCTTCACAAACTTGTCCATGGCCGCAAGCGCTTCAGGCGTCCCGGGCTTCAGCCTCGGGTCGTTGAGCTAAACCGTTCGAGGGTAAGAGTTCATTTTACGGTACTGTTCGATTTCTAAACAGAACCCAGTTTACCCTTCCCCCCCCCCCAGCCGGCACCCAACTTTGTATCTCGGCTCCCTGTTTATCTACAGGTGTGTAAAGTATCCGAAAATACTCGCCAGAGCAATACGAACATTTTGGTATACTTTACACACCTTTAAATGAACAGGGAGCCGAGATACGATAGGTGGGGGTCGGCTGCGGGGGGGGGTCAACTGACAAGGAGTCGTTTTCAGGTGCTTTTGGAGTTTCGGGACGGGACCTAGCTAGTTCGCTAGAGAAAAAAATTCTGAGCAACATCCCGTTTTCAAAAAGTGCTGATCGATAAATTTAATTTAATTAAAAATGTTCCCGGTATTTGCGGGGGTCGAGCGCCCCTGCCACATGGGGACTTCACGCGTCATGGATCCCGTCCAAGGCATGGCCAAGTGGCTAGTGCGTTGGCCTACGAAGTTTTTTTTGGCCTTTTGCCACAAGTTCGATTCTTATTTATCGTTAGCTCTTTGGTTTTTTGTTAACTAATATTTTATGCACTGCTAACGGGTTCAAGAACCAAAAAGCAAAAGGTTAACACGCGCGAAGATGCGAATCCGAGGCAAAAAATTTGAAAAAGTTGGTAGGCAAGCGCGCTACCAATACGCCAATGCAACCCATGATGGAGGTCTTGGCGGAAGGTTATGAATGGCGCCTTGCCAGCCCTGAAAACTAGAAAAAAAGCGCGAACTTTAAATTAAATTTTCTAAAATTCCTTTATCGATCAGCACTTTTTGAAAATGGTATGGTGTTCAGAATTTTTTCTCTATCGAACTAGCTAGGTCCCGTCCAGAAACTCCAAAAGCACCTGAAAGCGACTCCTTGTGAGCCACAGCCCCGTTCGAGATCTGTCAGAGCAGTTTACACCCACTCGTCGCCAATTGCGATTTTCGACAACAATTTTGCGCCATTGGCGGCAACCGTGCACGCTGTAGAAGATGAAGACAAACACCACTGAAAACCGTCGGGGATAAAGCAATTCGAGCAGAATTAGGGGTCAGAGTCTAAGAACCCCCGGATAAATTGCGTTATATGGTCACTAGACGGATTTTCGATTTTTATATGCCAAAATGCTCAGCAGTTCGAGCTGGTTGAGGATCAGTTGAAAAAACGATTGGGAAACACTTATGGAGCGAGATATACCACTTCAAAGTTAGGCTTCAAACCGCCCTTATATACCATGTTCTCGCCCCCGGAAAGTCAGTTTTAGGTGTTGCAAAAGACGTATAAGTATTCGATAAGGGTTTGGCTTGACACTACACAATCTATCTGAGCCTAAAAATAAGGCATCGTGCCACGCCGGGGCCTAGTCGCTTCGGATGGGCGCGAGCTCCTACAGGGTTTCGAAATCGGGGCGCCCGAGGCGCGCGTAGCGGCCGTCGAGATACGAAAACTCACTCTGGACCAGGAATAATTAATTAGAGAAAATCCAGACTTAAAATTGTTATAAAACATTCTTTAACATTTTTTGGTGTAAGAAAACAACTTTTAGTAATAGTAATTTTTAGGACTTTTTTAGGACGAATGGCTGAAAAGTTGTGGCTTGGGGGGGCGGGGGGTGAGGGGTTCTAAACTTTAACCGGAACAGGGGTCACCGACCGGCGGCAAGGAGTACAGCATCGTAGATGATCCAGAGTGGGTAGGCAAAGATTTGGCGGGCGAGGTCCGGACTCTCCTCAGCCGGAACCGCAGTCGTGCTGGCGAAATCGAGCCAGCGACAGAAAAGCTGAAAGGGCTTTTGGTACAATTGAAGGTATTGGCAATTCAGGGGAGGTGGGGGGATTTTTAGTGCAATTTTTCCAGATTTTGGATATTCTTTCAAAGTTCTTTAGTACCATTCGATAGAGCGTCGAAAAATATACTTTGAGTTTTGTTTGTAACTTTTCGACATCGTGAGTTTCCGAAATAATGTTTTCTAAATGGTGTTTTTTCGAAATGGTGATTTTTTTGAACTGGCGAGTGTCGAAAGCTTGATTTTCAAAATCGTGTACGCCAACCGGTTGATACGCACCCTACGGCTACTTCGCATCGTGTCACACTTGGTGGGTTCGATCTTGAGGGCGGCCATCTGCGCCGCGTTACCCGTCGTCACGGCCTTCTGGTAGTAGGGGTTTGTTTCGCAGTTCAAGAAGAAGTCTTTCTGGACTTCATCGACGTGCGGCTGCTGCAACCCAGAAAAAGAAATAACTCGGGAAAGCCGATCCTACCGTCAGCCCCACAACGTCGCTGATGTCGATGCAACGAGGGAACATTCGATGCGGCTCCTCCCACGGCGTCCATTTCCGCGCCAAGTTGTCGGTGGTCGACTGCAGCGTGGCGTACGGGCCGATCTTAAAAAAACAACGGCTCGATGCAAAAAGACACGCGTACCCCGTTTCGATCACCAGGTATTATTAATGGTTCCTTTTGAGTGTCAGTAGGTGGGATAAGTAGGTCCATGAGGACACAATCCTCCGTCTTCTTGGCTCCTCGGGCGGGGTAGAGGCACGGGGTCTCGGCAGCAGGGGCGACGCTCTTGGGCAGCCCGGCGGCCAGACTGAAAAATAAGAATTAGAGACAATTTCCATGGCATATTTTCAAATGACACGGCCAAACAAAATTGGGTCCTTTCGCGTAAACGGGGGCGGGGGGGGGGGGGGCTAGATAAGCCTAGAAATGTCTAGTAACTTGCTAGCAACCGTTTTATAATGTTTTTGGTAAAAAATTAAAGGTAAAACCATTCTTAGTCGAAGTATCGATATTTTCGCATTTTCAATAACCTTTTTGTAAAGTTTTCAGGTCTAAAGCTAGTAAAAACCAGTTAGAAACGCTTTCGCTACTTATAAAAAAACCAGCTCCTAAGAAAAAACTTGCCCCTCCCCCGATAATGCGAAAGAACCCAGGTTGCATATGGAAAGTTAGTTTTTGCGACTATGTTCTATACACGGGGTCCCGACTATTCAGGAGGGCGCGCACGAGGGACGGGGCACTCCACGGGACGGGTGGGCCGGCTGCGCGCACAGCGAACCCTGAGACCCGCAAAAGGCCTTAACAAAAGGGGGAAAAAGTGACAAATTTTCGCGCTTTCAAAATGCGATAACTTTTTTTCTAGAAAAAACGGTCGAGGCGGCTTTTCGCATATGATAGAACAGACCCTAAGGCACCTTTTCCAAAAGAGCTCGGAGCAAATCTGAATCAAAATAAGGAGTTCAAAACTTTTTTAGCGAGCAGAAGACCGAAAATTCACCCCTTTGTGCGCAGCGCTTTTCTTTGAATATAGCCATTTTCTGGGATCTGTTTTCGTATATTTGCATCGCCTGACACTTGCCAATGATCAATTGCTTGCTTTTTCGGGGTTGGGGCTGTAATGGACGAGATTGAGGCCCATCCATTTTGAGCAATTTTGAATCCTGGAGTAGTACTGAACTATTTGGCTTGAAGCTACTTTGTATGACTATCTGGCTATATATTCAGCTCTGTTTTATATCTATGTGACTTAAATGAGTACTCCAGCACCACTATTCGCGATTCCTGGTTTCTGACTCAGGAACCATATAGTTTGTTATTTTTCGGCATTGGGTAGTTGTTGCTGGCACCTTCAACCACCTTTTGCAAAAAAGAGCAAAACGATCTGACGGTACGGGGGGTCAGAGGTATCGAACCAGCACCCCCCTTCCCGTGGCCTGTGACCGCCGCCTTAGACCACTCGGCCACGCCCCCTCCCCACCCTCGTGCGCTCTTGCCAGAGGACCCTGTATATCTCCCTTACGTGAAACCCTTCAGCGGACGCGGCACACAATTGAGCGGGTTGGGAAGCTGCGTTAACTTCGCACAAAACTAAAGGAATTTTTCGCGCTGCAAATGTGTCAATACCTGGATCTTTTCCAAATCCTTGACATCATCAGGGAACACTTCTGGGTCATCCGGAGATAGACCGGCGGCCTGGTGCAAACTTGGGACACAGCCGATGTCGCTGGCGATCCTGAAACGAAATCTTTTTTTGCTGAATTACACCATTCCGCTTCGGAGAGTAGATCCGCTTTCGCGGAGCGATGAGCCTATCGTTGTCGAGAGAGGGTCAACGGGGGAGGCACCCTTACGTTGGGACCATGAAGCCGGGCTCGCATTGGGACGTGGTAGTCGAGTGTAATGACGATCTTATCGGCGACGTACGGTGATCGGCTTCTGAAAAAAAGATTGGTCTAGGTAAGAGTCTATTCCCCAGCTAGCATTCGCCTCCAAGTTATCCATTGTGCGTAGTAACAATTCAAATAAGCCGGGGATTTAGGCGGGGGGGGAGCCAACTTTTGGTTGGCCATGGTGGGAATATTAATCAAATATAAAGTGTTTTCACATTTTTTTAGCAAAATTTAAGCCTATTTGAATCGGAATAACTTTTTAAAAAGTTAGAAAAACGCTGCAAAGTCGAACTTGGTCATTTTCGGCCGGAAAAATTGATTTTTCGACCTAAAATTAAATTTTTTAATTAAGTTTTGTAAAGTTTTTATGTTTAGGAAAAGCTATAAACAATTTAGAAACACTTCCACTATTTATATAAAAAATATAGGCTCGGGCGGAAAAAAGTTCGGTTCCCCCCCCCGCCTATTTGAATTGTACCTATGCGTGAAGTATCTCAAAATCTTCCTCCCGTCAAATACTCCATTTCCACATACTTTTTTTCAAAGAAATGGAGAAGGAAAAATAAATAGAGCTGAAATAAAGATTGGGTTGTATTGGGGCGACAGTCATCCCTTTTCCCGTCGTAAGCGTCGAAAGGGGCGCCCCGTTGCCCTGTCCCCACAAGACTATAGTTCGCAGTAAATTGCTTCTAAAATTTGTGTTTTTTATTTTTCTTCAAAAAAAGGGATATCGAAATAGAGTGTTTAACGAGCGGACCATCTTTAGATACTCCAGGCATTGGTAAGACTCCAGATACCCCCAGTTGGGCCCCAACTTTTTTATCTCGGTTTCCTGTTCATCTACAGGCGTCTAAAGTATACCAAAATGTTCGTCTTGCTCTGGCGAGCATTTTGGTATACATTACATTGGGTATAAATGGTATTTGGTAAACCTGTATTTTAGATGAACAGGGAGCCGAGATAAAAAAGTTGGGGCCGACTGGGGGTGGGGGGGGGGGGTATCTGGAACTCCAGGCATTAAAAGGCCGTCCGCGACTCACCCGAACAGGCCCCATTATGGCTTGGCACAGTTTTTTTCGACCCCGTTTTTTTGACGGCATCGGATAGAGCATGGTCAAATTAATAGGTCTGTATAGTTTTGAAAGTTTAAAAAGTTTAATTTTGGAGTCTAAAAGGGCCTGAAAGTTGCCGACCTCAAAAAACTATCTCGAAAAATACCCAACGAAATTTGCTAAAAATTTGTGAAGATACTAATTTTGGGGTGGGGACCATTTCTTTAATACATTGTGAAGCATGAAAATGGCCGGAACGTGGTTAAGTCAAATACTAAAAACAGTTTTTCGACATTTTCGACATTTTAGAGAAACCGGCGCATATTGGCTGCTATCATAGGCAGACGCACCTCACGTTTCTGCATCGAATGGTGTGTCGCTTGATATGCGCCGACTTCTCTAAAAATTAGTTTTATCCGCTTTTATGTGTGAAAATGGGGTGGGGTTGACCCCGAAAAATGAAAATTTTTGCTTTCGAAAAATTGGAGTTATAGAAATGCATCTAGAGACCGAGACGAATCGATTGCAAAAAGACAAAAAGAAATTCGGCTCCAAGAGGGGCTGGGATTGAACTGGCGCCAGCTCTGGATTAGCACGCCGACGCTCTACTCACTGCGCCACAGGGCTCTCGGGCGGAGGGTCCGGGTTCGATTCCGCAACATCGAAAGAAACGAAATTTCTTTTTGCTCTTTTTTGCAATCGATTCGTCTCGGTCTCTAGAGGCATTTCTATAACTCCAATTTTTCGAAAGCAAAAAATTTCATTTTTCGGGGTCAATTTTACCCCCATTTTCACACATAAAAGCGGATAAAACTAATTTTTAGAGAAGTCGGCGCATATCAAGCGACACACCATTCGATGCAGAAACGTGAGGTGCGTCTGCCTATGATATAGCCAATATGCGCCGGTTTCTCTAAAATGTCGAAAATGTCGAAAAACTGTTTTTAGTATTTGACTTAACCACGTTCCGGCCATTTTCATGCTTCACAATGTATTAAAGAAATGGTCCCCACCCCAAAATTAGTGTCTTCACAAATTTTTAGCAAATTTCGTTGGGTATTTTTCGAGATAGTTTTTTGAGGTCGGCAACTTTGAGGCCCTTTTAGACTCCAAAATTAAACTTTTTAAACCTTCAAAACTATACAGACCTATTAATTTGACCATGGTCTATCCGATGCCGTCAAAAAAACGGGGTCGAAAAAAACTGTGCCAAGCCTTGTTCGGGTGGCTCACAAACGGTCTTTTAATTCAACAACTTGGGGGCAAATGCTGGCTGAGGGGGGCAGGGTCAACTAGACTTTAGCCACATGCGCGTTTGCTCACAGTAGATCTTTTGGACAAGTGCCGTCGACGAGCATCTTTCGCGTGCACAGGTTGAACGGGAACAGCTCCGAATGCTCTGCAAAAGGGCGTAACTTTCGTCTCAATACATCGGATACCATGGCCAGCTGTAACGAACGAGACGGGCTTCAGGCAAGTGGCAGAGTCGGTATTGCCCTGAATAAACGACTAAGGAACGGGTAAGCCGAGCTTACGCAAGTATCATCCTTTGGGGTACATTTGGCCACGGCGCGTATGTTCGGCGTGGTGGTTAGCACGAGCTGGCCATCATCGATCAATGATCCGGCGATCAGTTGGCACTCCTCCAAGGGGCAATGCTCGCACTAGACAATGAGTGATTAATACCGCCGAAAGGTAAGAGTCTAGAAACCCCCCCCAGCCGGCACCAACTTTTGTATCTCGGCCCCCCTTTGTGCTAGCGAGCTCTAAAGTATACCAAAATGTTCGCCGTAGGCTAATTAGTAAGACTACATTGCAGTTCAGTCGAAAAAAGTAGTGAAAAATAAAAATAAGGAAGGTAGAAAAGTTGAAAAGTCGGCTGGGGGGGGTTTCCTAGACTTGAGCCCGCCTAAATCTGAAATCGAACCCGGCGTATTTACTACCATAATGTGGAAATTCACAATGTCGAAATTTCATAATATCGAAATTTCTTCATAACGCCGAAATTTAGAATGTCGAAATCTTATTGCGTAGGAATTGGCTGGCTTTGCATTTCGAAATTCTCAAGTACGAAATTATGAAATTTGAACCTGCAGAAATTTAGACATTAAGAATTTCGACGTTCTGATTTTCGACATTTTGAAAGCAACCCACCCCTTCGTCTGAGATGCTGCTCTTCTTGCTCGCAGCACCAGCGGGAAGGCCATCGATTATGCTCTTCGCCACGCAGGCAAACGGTTCCTTGCCGAGACACTAAAACACAAGGTACGTGCACCGTGAACATCAGCCTTACAGCCCGCTTGGCACGCATCGAACGGTTCGCCGAGTAGTCGTCAGCCTGGCTGACGATGTTCTTGTTGGGTGCATTGGATCCCGTGGCAGTATAGCGGTCAGACCTGAAATTGGAAATGGTAATGCAGCAAAGCGTGTATCTCAAGACAAGTGCTTGTCGCAAGTTTTTCCGGTTCTTGGGTATTCCGGGGAGAATCCGCGGGGGTGGATGGTTGAAAAGCAAAGGAAAGGGTAAGATTTTTAAAATATTTGTTTAGAGGTTTCTAGCAAATACTAAAACATTATAAGTTACCACCCGGTAAGTAAAGGTGGAAAAACAAAAAGTGGCATGGCTTAAGTGCAGTTTACCCTCCCCCCCAGCCAACCCCCCACCTACCGTATCTCACCTCCCTGTTCATCTACAGGTGTCTAAAGTATACCAAAATGTTCGTACTGCTCTGGCGAGTATTTTGGTATACTTTACACACCTGTAGATGAACAGGGAGCTGAGATACGGTAGGTGGGGGCCGGCTGGGGGGGGGGGGCGGGGTAAATCGAAAAATGTTGATAATTTTTAAGAGTTTTTTACATATATCAAATTTTGGCAAAACGGCATGGGGGGCGGGGGGTAAACTGCACTCTAATCGGGGCCAGGATTGAGATGACGATGGCGATCAATCCGGGCCAAAACTAAGGAAGCAGCAAACGTACGTTGCGCGAGATGCAGAAGCCGCCAAAGAGCGGAAAGACGGCGGGGACACGGAGACGGGCTGGAACACGCCGCAGAGCAGCCAGACCACGAAGAGGCCGCGGACGGGTCGGTGGCCGAACATCAGAAGCGTGGCGAGTTGATATAAGTGAGGCTCGATTCGATTCGCTTTTCCGACAGCTTCTGAGGCAAATTAGGGCCCGTTTCCGGTGCATTTCATGAATGCATACAAGCTGGATTCAAATCGATCTATGCAGCCCGTAAACCCGCATTCTGTTGCAAATTATGGCTATGGTTTACTTTACCCCCCAGCCGAGAGTTTTTGGCTATACCTTTTTTATTTCTCCCCTGGCCTTCACGCGGGTATCTTTAGAAGTTGGGCTTGCCATGATTCGGGCGAAGAGCTAAAAGGAACCCAAAAATGGCATAGGCCCCCGGCCAGGAGCGTAGCAAAATTCGAAATGGGCCTCCCAACGCCTCGGGTGCAAAATCTTCGATCAAGCGATTTTCTATCAGGTGACTGCCAACCGATTGTGTCAATAGTTCGCCGTGAATTCAATAAAGCATTTGTGTTTGCATCGATGTTTATTCGGAAATGAGAGATGGGGGACATGTTGAGCACGAGCATCTAGTGCGACGAGCACGAGACTATCTGGTATGTGCAAGGAAAATTGGGGCGAATGGACAGCGATCGAGTAGGGGAGCAAAACGGATTTTTGCGGGGTGGGGGAGGGGGAGGGATGGGCTGTTCAGACATTAGCCGACGATGATTGTGTCGCAGTGGCATCGGTGGCTGTCGCTGGGGACGGCAGGGGGACTAGTAGTCCTGGCGGCAGTTCCACCTCGGCCGTTTCCGGAACATCCTTGTCCGATTTGGTCTGCATCAGGAAGCGGTTAATGCGGCGGATCGGCTTGTTGTAGTTGGACATTCGCTCCTCGTGATCGTCTGCCTGCAATTAAGCAGTATCTGAACTCAAGGAGTATCTTATTCGAAAGCGCATTTTCTGCAGAATAGATGCGCTATCGAACCTTTTTTAACTTTCACTGTTTGAATTTGTAGAGCGCCTAAGGGGTATGATTTTTCGGGTTTTTGCCTGACCAGTGGATCTGCCCATCCATCATGCCAGCCAGCGTTGAATTCGAGCGCGCCACCCGCCGCGTAGTCGCCGGACTCGGTGCGATCCACGGCTTCAGCCTTCCTGCAAAGCTTACACGTAGAAGTTCTGGGGTCACCGAGTCAACAGCGGTCCCAAATTGGTGGAAAAATCAAATAAAGGTTAGAATGCAATTTACCCCCAGCCGGCGCCCAACTTTTGTATCTCGGCTCCCTGTTTATCTACAGGTGTGTAAAGTATACCAAAATACTCGCCAGAGCAAGGCTAACATTTTGGTATACTTTACACACCTGTAGATGAACAGGGAGCCGAATACGGTAGGTAGGTGCCGGCTGGGGGGTAAAGCAAAGGCCCAAGGCTTTAGTATTCGGGGGAATCGCGGTTTGTGGGTATGGTGCCCGTGCCGCACAATCGCCCTCCCCTTGGGTCTCGCTGGTCCATTGGAATGGATAGCATCCAGGTCTTGAAAGGGGTCCGGTTCTGACCCCGCCCGTCATGGTTTTTGTTTTGCCCCGAAAGGTTGGGTATCCCTTTAAGCCCAAATAAAATACGGGGAACACGCTGCATTAAAATTTAGCTGCCCATGGGCACTTCTTAATCAACTTTTATTTTTATTCAAAAAAAGTTCTATTAAAATGTACTTTTCGCTGCTCAACCCGGACCTTTCGCCCTGGAAAATGTGTTGTTTTTTTTTTTGGAATTTTCATAGCAGCCACGACATTTTAGATAATGTGGGGCGGCCTGTCACAAAACCATACCTAGCCACAATTAGGCGCCTTTTGAAGACCACCAGAGCGATGAGGGCAACGGCGCCACCTGGAACGAATTCAAGAGGTTGATCAATCGGTCTGGCCGGTCAATCCCGTTTATCTGGGCAGACCGGCAGCTAATTTTTATTTCAAAATTTTTGGGTGCTGGTAATGAAGAAATAATGCATGAAGATTCACCAAAAAAAGTAAAACTTTTCGAATTTGCGAAATCAAAAACTTAAATTTTTTAAAACTAAAAAGGACCGCCGTCCCGGTTGACCTAGTAATCAAATATAAAGTGTCTTTACACTGTTTTTAGTAAATTTTAACTATATTTAAAGCAGAAAAACTTCCGAAAAAAGTTAGAAAAATGTTTGAAAAAGTCAACTTTGGTCCCCTCCCCCCGCGCATCCTAAAGGTTCTACAGGCTTTTGCGACCTAAAATTGAATTTGTTAGTTCAATTTTTTGTGTACTTTCCATGCTTAGAAATAGTTCAAAATAATTTAGAAACGCATCCACTATTCATAAAAAATTTAGACTTGTGCCGAAAAAAATTGGTCCCCCCCCCGCGAATCCGAAAGAACCATTTTGGGACGCGCGGGCGAGTCGCTGACCTACGACAACAGCGGCAAGCGAGGAAACTGGGATGACGAGCGACTCGTCTTCGGCAGGCGGCTTTTCGTCCTTTTTATTTTCACGGAGGATCGTAGCCTCGAACCCCTTTTCATCAAAGCCGGACACGTCGATGCAGAACTGCTGGAAAGGCAATGCGTGGAATAAAGAGTTGAATGGGCCCCGCCCGGCGTTTTCCGGAGAAAATATGCTCGGCATTGCGCACCGTGTCGGCATCGTCGGGCTTCTTGCACGGCTCCACCTGGACTGAGAGGGTTTTCTTCTCTTCGGCCGTCGTCGCCTTATTATTATAGTACGGGTTCGTCGCACAGTTCAGGAAGATGTTGCTCTCAAGCAGGGTGATCTGGTGCGGCTGAAAAAAGGGCAAAGTCATCCGCCGAACGAGTGAAAGACTTTGGGGGTTGGGAGGTCCAAAATACCCGCAAGACCGATCGGGCTGAAAATTTGTACACTTATAGAATCGACCACGCTGATAATCGCCTCGTTTTCCGAATTTACTATAATAATTTTCTTGAGGTGTCTGTCTGTGTGTGTGTGTGTCTGAAGACGAATTCAACTCGAAGGGGAAAGGAGCTAGAGCTTAGGTCTCTTCGGATTCGGATAGAGCGTGATCAGAAACCCCCAAACTGATAAAAAAATTATGAAAAAGTTTTAGTTTAAATTATTAAAGTAACTTTGAAAGCTTTTTCCTTAGCAAAAGGAATGGGGGACGGACGTTGGGGTGATTTTGGACATAGTGAGCCAGGTGGCGCGCGTTTCGTGGATGAAAATTTTCAAGGGAGCCATTTCATTTCTTTTTTTTCTCCCACGTATCCGGTCCGTCCTTATTTTAGTTTTTGAAGGGGATTTCGCCTAGGGGAGGTATCTAAAGCCATCAGGAAGGTATTCGGCTATGGGAGGCCATCTGGTTTGCTACAGAGCCTTAGAATTTGAGATATGAAAGTTTTAAATCGATTCGTTAGTTAAAATTGCCGAAGTTCGGACTCGATTATTCTGACCTTTTTGGCAGATTTCCAAAAAACAAGCATCGCCATCGGATCAGAAAAAAATCTCTATCGGTTAGGCTACTTCAAATAACTAGAAGAATACAGACAAAAAAGTTCGATATCCTGACAAACCCTTTTCCGGGGTCCCAAAAATGACACCAAAACTTTAAAATATATCAAATTTCAGGCTCTGTAGCAAATTCGGAAAACGAGACGAATATCAGCGTGGTCGATTCTATAAGTGTACAAATTTTCAGCCCGATCCGTTTTGCGGGTATTTTGGACTTCCCTAGTTAGACAAAGACCTTGATAGGCTTCAATTTGGATAGCGACGCCGGGGTGGAGGGGCGAAAACAACCCAGCCTTGCTGACCTCGAGTTTGTGCTTATCGCCGGCGATGCACCGTGGGTATGCGAAGGCATTGCCCTTGCCCACCGACGTGCGCCACGTCATGTTCAACGTGTCTTCACCGCTGAGCAACGTGGCGTAGGGTTTCGACTGGAAGGGCACATGAATGGATGCTATTTGGGACCGCAGGGGATATCTTTATCCCATCGAATTACATCTGGTCGAATTGCATCCCATCGAAATACACCCCTCGCAATTACGACCCGTCGAAATTACGGTATATGTCGGTTATGCGGGGGGGGGGACAATTTTACGCGGGGGCACGGGACAGGCAGGCTTTTTTGGGTGTTTTCGTTATTTTCTCGAAATTTTTGCGACGGCATTCGATAGAGCATCGAAAAATATACTACGCGTTTTTGTTTTAGCTCAAAGTAGTGTAATATAAAAAAGTTACGGCAAATACAAAAATAAGCTTTGAAACACGGGTTGAGCGGCTGTTTTTCGACATTCGCGCTATTTTTTCGACATTTTAAAGATGCCATTCGATAGAGCATCCAAAAATATACTAGGAGTTTAATTTTAGCTCAAAATAATGTATATAAAATAGTTATAACAAAAACAAGTGTTAAACGTTGTTTCGATGGAGAACTTAGAAGGAAATCAAGTTTTCGACATTTTCGACATTTTTACAAAATTTTTTTAGTGCCATTTGACAGAGCGTCAAAAAACATACTAAGAGTTTTGTTTGTAGCAAAAAGAAACGCAAAAAAATAGTTAGCTCGGCCCCAACAGTCCCCCCCGCGTAAAATCCCTCCCCCTCCGCGTAGCCGACATATACCGGCAAACCCGAAGCCTTGCACCTCCACAAGCTCACCTTGAGACGGTAGGCCGTGTAGACTTTGGAATTGTCGAAAATGTCCAGGGGGGCGCAACCGCTGCTCTCAAAATGGTGGCCCCTGTATTGGCAGGCGGGCACGTAGATCGACGACTTGGGCAACAAGAATTTCGCAGGTTGTTTGGTGGCGGGCACGGCGTAGTACCTAAGGCCAAAATATACAATGGTTCTTGGGGGGAAATGTTCCCACTTTGAACCGACGAGGGGACGGGGCGCGCAATTCGCCGGCATCGACCCAGCCGCAGGACACCACTGAAAACGTTGGAAATGGTTTCAGCTCGGAATCGAATATCGATTCGAGATTTTGAAAACTTAAGGGGGCACGGACAGCCCGTGTCGACACGGTTCGCCGACAGATTTCGGCTCGTAACCCTCGATTTTTGACGCCTCGGGGAATAATTAGTCCAGATGCGACACCGTTGCTGCACTGAATGCAGCGCTTCAAACGCCACACCTGGGCTGTCAAAACCAGTTGTTACGTGGCGTGGTTCTTGTGTATTCCCGGGCGGGGGAAAGAATTCGCGGGGGGGGGGAAACTGAACTTTTTTTTGGCCCAAGCCTAGATTTTTTATATAAATAGTGGAAGTGTTTCTAAATTGTTTATAGCTATTCCTGAACATAAAAACTTTACAAAATTTAATTAAAAAATTATTTTAGGTCGAAAAATCGATTTTTTCGGTCCAAAAATGACCAAATTTTCGACTTTTTCAAGCGTTTTTCTAACTTTTTAAAAAGTTTTTCCGATTCAAATAGGCTTAAATTTTGCTAAAAACAATGTAAAAACACTTTATATTTGATTACTATCCCCACCAGGCCCGACAAAAAAAAGTTGGTTCCCCCCCCCCTCCCGCGAATTCTTTTCCCCCGGGAATACACAAGTACCCGTGGCGTAAGTTGTCGATGAGCCTTCGCCATAAACCTGGTCGACACGGGCAGTCCGAGCCTCTTTAAAGGTACACTCCGTTCTAGGGATGGTCTTTTTTGATCCGGACCCGGACCCGGTCCGGACCCTCCCGGGGCCCGGTCCGGACGGGTCAAGGTCGGACCCGTGGCCGGAAGTTACTCACATGAATCTGATTCCGAGTGGTTAATTTAGAATTCCACATCGTTTTGCTATTCCTAAACGCGAAAACTAAACAAAATTTTAGTAAAAATGCCGAAAAAAATTTTTTTCACAACTTTTTAGATGGTTTTTCTAGTTGAAATATCGTTATTTTTTACCAAAGACACTATTACAACAGACACACAACACACAACCTTGTAGCTGTTCCACTGGCCGTCGGCGGTGAGCGCTGTGGGAGCGACGTCCTCCTTTCCGAATATTTTCGCGTCATCATTGCCGAGCCCGGCGAACTGGTGAAGGCTCGGGACGCACGGGATTGTATCGGCACTTCCGGTGACGGCGCCCAACAGTCTGGAACGAGCCCAATTTAAGGCACCCGTTTGGCTACAGGGCTGTGAGGCACACCAAAATGTTCGTCTTGCTCTGACGAGCGTTTTGGTGTACTTTACGGTTCTGGACTGTTAGCGCGGGGGATTTTTAGCAGGGGTCGCAAAACCACTTTCTGTTTTGCCACCTGTTAATGATCTATTATGCATTTTATCGTGTTTTTAGTAGTAGTAGAATCACAGGAAAAGTTTGGTCCCCCCCCGCCACGAACAGTCCAGAACCGGGTTTACGTGGAGTACCGCATTTTCGCTCTGCACCTACTCGGGGATGGTGAAGCCGGCATCGCATTGTACCACGTACTTTGTGCCGAGCTTCCAACCCGCAATCTCGATATCCGTCACCCTAAAACCAACCACAGTCACTGTTTGGCGTTCCCTAGGAAGCGAATGGAATTTTCGTGTGCTACCCCGTTAACGGGGGGTTTAATTACTATTGCCTCCCCACCCCCTCGTTAAAGGCGTAGCACCAAAAAACCAGTGCAACGCACAGCTTCTTGTCTTTGCACAGGCCGTTGGCGATCATCATTCGGCTGCAGAAGTTGCGCGGGAAAAAGACCCAATTATCTGAAATGGGGGTTTTTATGAAAATCGTCAGAAGAAAAACGCTTGAAAAACTCGAAAATTTTGTCATTTTTTAATATATAAAAAAATAGTGTTTGTGTGTGTGTGTGTGTGCATTTGCATGCAACTTCCGTCCGTATGTTCCAGTCGTATCTCAATAGGAGAAGAAGTTAAGGGTACGTATGATACGTCATTAGGTGCGTAATGGTCATGACACGACTGCACGCACATAAGATTTTTAAAAATCAGCTATTTTCGATATTAAAATTAAGTTTTTGTGAAAATCTCGCTCAGTCTCTTTGTTAGAAATCAATTTGCATGCACCGGAAGTGGGGCAAGCCTATAAAACGGCGGAGAGGACACGCTTTTCATTTTTCTGCACCGAATTCAGGTGTTTATGCAATGTGACGAAGTATGGGGGTAAGACGGGGGCCAGGGTTGAAAAGTCGCGAAGCGGCTTTTCAACCCTGGTTTTTTAATTAAATTACCAGGGTTGAAAAACCGCTTCGCGGCTTTTCAACCCTGGCCCCGTCCAGGATCTGTGAAAGTCTTAAATTTGCATGCTACTTCCCGAATTCTAGCAAGAAAAAAAAGTGAAAAACGACTCATCCGTCCCTTTATATAGGCTATCCCCCTTCCGGCGTATGCTAATATCTCCCTAACAAAGTGGGAAGCGAAGATTTTTACAAAAACCTAATTTTAATAGCGAAAATAGCAATTTTTCAAAGTTTTTAAGTGCGTGCAGTCGATTCCAGCCCCTTCTTTACCCTATGACGTTTCTTCCCTACCGAAAAAATGCTTCCCTGAGGCTGTAGGTGCGGAACATCCAAACGGAAGTGCATGCAAATATACACACACACACACAAACACTATTTTTTTATATATAGTAGGATGTAAAATAGATTTACTTAAAATTTGTGAAATACATTTTTTTAAATTAAATTTTCCTAGACTATAGCCAAATACCTTACCGGCTTTTTTTGTTGAGCTGCTCGAGCTTGACGGCCTTGATGCAGTCAGCGGTGGTGTCCTGTTCATTGCAGAACCACTCTCGAGGATCACAGCCGATCATCAAGCGCCCGGTGGTCTCATCCAGGGTCAGGGTGGCCTCGGGCTCGCATTTCTTGCACGTCTTCTCACACTGTAATAGCAATTCGCTACCGGACACGGCTAAACTAACGAACTGCCAGGCTTGAAAAACCGCTACGCGGCCCTTGAACCCTGGCTGTGTCGAAAAATAAATTTTTGTTTCGACCAAAAATGACCAAATTTTCGAACCTTTCAGAGATTTTCCAACGTTCTTTTGAAAATTTTTCTATTCTAAATACAGCTAAAACTTACCAGAAACAATGCCAAGGCACTTTATATTCGATTACTAGCCCAACCTGGACCGCCAGAAAAGTGCGGTCCCCCACCAGTCGGCACCCGACTTTTTTAGCTCGGCTTCTCGTATCCTACCAGGTAGTAAAGTATACCAAAATACTCGTCAGATCAAGACGAACAATTTGGTATACTTTCTAGACCTGTAGACCAACAAGCGGCCGAGATACAACAGTCGGACGCCCCCCTGGGGCAGGGGGGGTAAACTGCACTCTAACCAAAAGTGGACCATACCGTGCCGTCATTCGGTAGCTCGGTGTGCAGCCCAAGTTGGTCGAGATGGTGCCTCGCGTAGCAGACAAAGGGCACAGGCTCACACTGCAAAGAAATCTTTTGCCGTCGTCAGCTGCAACGAACCGCTGTCGCACCGCCGTCCGCAGCTGGCGGGCCGCTGCAAAGTTCAATTCGGTAGGAGTCAAGGACAGCCGGAACTTGTCAGCCATACGGCCTAATAATGCGCGGAGTATATCAACCTGTTCGCCCTGGTCAAATGACTATAATCGTCTCAAGACGCCAAAAAATTGCTAGAAATTTTTCTACATAATCTAAAAGAACTCTAGAACCCCCCCTACCCAGGCGGCCTCCAACTTTTGTATCTCCGATCTCAGTTCATCTACAGGTGTGTAAAGTATACCAAAATACTCGCCAGAGCAAGATAAAAATTTTGATATACTTTACACACCTGTAGATGAACAGGGAGCCGAGATATAAAAGTTGGTGGCCGGCTGGGGGGGCGGGGGTATCTGGAGTCTTTCCAATGCCTGGAGTATCTCAAGATGGTCCTTAATGAGAGAAAACCCAGACTTATAGTTGCTATAAAAAACTTTCAAACATTTTTTACTTACGAAAAAAACTTATTTATAGTAAAAAATCGACCATGGCAAACATTTTTGCGATCCTCCACGCAGTAAAGGCCGTATAGCGGCAAAGTTGTGGCTGGGCGGGTTTCATAGACCTTAGCCCGGATGTTTTGGGCCACCACGCCGTTGTTTGATACCGTACTCCTGGGGCACGGCACCGGCGGGGGCGATGAGCACGAGGGACCCGATGAAGATGAGCATCAGAGGCATCGTCGTCGAACGCTGCGGCGAGCGCGGCTGGGCGATCATCAGAGTTAGTGGCCGTCAAGAGACGAGATGGCCTTACAACGTTTTTCTAGCCTTTGAGACGAAAAGCCATTAAAATTTCGAGTCGCTTCCGGTTTGCAAATCGCCTAGTCTGCTTTTTATATGCTAATCTCGTTAATGTAGTGAATTTCGCTAATTTCGGATAATTAGTTGACTACCTTACTGAATAGGATCGGATGGCAAGCTAGCAGTGATGATGTTGGAAGCGAGTTCTGAAAAATGTGCAAGCTATTTTCCCGGCGATTGTTTCCTGCACCCACCGTCTCTCGCTCTCTATCACTGAAGCTCACGATGTCTCTCTCACTCTCACGTTCCCTCTCACTCTCTCGATCCCTCTCTACCTCTCATTCTATCACTCACTCTGTCTCTCTCACTCTCTCTCTCTCTCTCTCGATCTGGAATCCTCTCTCTATGTCTGTATCTCTCTTTCTCACGCTATCTTTAGTTCCCTCTCCATTTTGAAGGACCATTTAATGGGACGTTCCGCTCTCGTTGAGAAAACAAAAAATAGAAAATATTGGTAAACACTTTAGCACGCAAGGTTACGGTAGGTGCTAAACGTGGGGGCAAAACCGAACCCGGACCACCCGCCCTGGGGCAAGCGCCATAGACCACTAGAGACGGGAGAGGGGCTATGAAGGGTCCCTGCGCCCGGCCGCCAGGCCGCCAAATTCCCGCCGCCGGCCAAAGTTCCAGAACGAGAGCAGAATGTACCTTTAAGGCCAATCTGTAATGTATCCAAATTTTCAGTCCCTGGCGACGACACACGAGGCTCCTTCAGAAGAAAAAGTGGTCCTAGACTCGTTTGAGGCGCATCGTGATCGCGAGAAAAATTCGTGTGCCTGCTGACCGGATGGATGGTGGCTGACTGAGGACGAGATTTTGTAGCGAGATTATTCGGGCTGCGGGTACGGCAATAGCCACATACACTCACGGCTCATCCTCACAAAATACAGGGTGTCCCAATAGAAAAGGTCACGCTGGCATTTCGCCATTTCAAATCTGATCGTTATAAATTTGGAACAGAGCCGCGGAAGGGAATTTAGAATGTTCACAGAAACTTTCAGCCCGATCGGTGCAGTAGTTTGCGAGTTATAGCAAAAATACTGTTTTTTCAACACTTTTGCTTCATTTTTTCGGCTATCGTTTTGGACTTTGCATCAATTAACATCAACTTTGGCCCTAAATCCCTCATTCTTCTTAAAATCTGGGATGATAACACCTTGTTCAAGTTACTTAAACAACCTATTTCCAAGACGAATTTTACGAAATAAAAAATTTTCTGAGTTAAAAAAGGGTCGGCGCTTCATTTTTGCGAGACACTCCAAGACTCAATTCCGGCGAAATCCAGGTTAAAAACGTAAAATAAAGTTTATTTTTGCTATAACTCGAAAACTACTGTACCGATCGGGGTGAAAGTTTCTGTGAACATTTTAAATTCCCTTCCGCAGCTCTGTTCAAAATTTCAAGTCGATCGGATTTGAAATGACAAAATGCCAGCGTGACCTTTTTTTTATTGGGACACCCGGTATATGACTTTGCGTTCGATGCTACGTGTCCAATTTCTTCTCGTTTTCAATGCATCAAAATTTGTATCAAAATTTGCAGAAATTCTTTTAATTTTCGTTGAATTATGATTCTGTTTTTAATTATTTATTTGTCGTATGCAAATGCTGGATAAATTATTCGGGTCTGGCTAATGCAATGGTTCATTTTTGCTGATGGAGAATCAATGGCATAAACTATGAAAATATGCGAAAACAGGGACTGAAGAGCCCAGACAAAACATTTGAACGCTAGAAGCCAGCTTTTGATTCTAACTCTCCTCTCTCTCTCTCTCTCTCTCCTCTCTCTCTCTCTCTCTCTCTCTCCTCTCCCTATCTATCTCTATCTCGCTCTCTCTCGCTTGCTCTTTCTCTTAGTCTCTCTCTTTCTCTCTCTTTGTCTCTTTGCTCTCTCTCTCTCTCGCTTGCTCTTTCTCATTCTCTCTCTTTCTCATTCTCTCTCTCTCTCTCTCTCTCTCTCTCTCTCTTTCTCTTTCTTTGACAAATTTATGTTAAAGCTATTAGCGAATGTCTGTATGTCCCAATTTCCCCGTATGGACCATATTTATTTGCTCTTCCTATCCAATATCTGGGCCCTTGCAACTAATCAGCATAATGGCATCACCTTCCCCAGCGGCTGCAAATTTGTCGCAACATATTCCCCAACCTTTATTACCGTAGAAAACGCCGTGTTTTCTTTAGTCACACAGGCACTTCTAGTCTATAGATTTTGTAGTTACCGTTTTATAAGGGCTTGAAATTGGCTTAGGCGGCCACAAAAATTCCTTGCTTTTGAAATGTTGCAAAAATTGCTTCCAAAATTATCGATTGAAGCCGTTCCAGTGTAAGCAAAATTTTAGCGCCAGAATTTAAAGGGCCTATGCCAATAGAATTTGTCAATTTTTGAAAATTTATATTTTTCGGTGATTTTGCCTTTTCGTGAATTCGAATTTTTTTTGTATTTTTTATCTATCAGAAGTCATTGATGCGCCTAACAATTTTTAAAAAGCCCATTGAAATCTAATCTGTTTGAAAACGGCCCGGAAACCTGACTCATAGCCTCGGGCGGGCCCTTTTCCCATCTCCTCCCCCGACGCGACGACAATAGTTGTGCCACGGAATTTGCATTGCGTAATCGGTTGTTTTTGAACTATAATTCAATAAAATTCGAGTGCTTTTATAGCTTTAAAAAGTTTAGTTGATGAAATAGAGTTGCAAAAACTTTTAAGAATCGAAACTAATGGCCTTCTAGCTCATTTGATGGCGTAATCGGTTCTCCAACGGCCAGAATTTTATCATTTCTACTAGTTTTTTTCGCGTCAATAAACTCTAGTCTTAAAATTCGAAAACAATGGACCATAAAATTAACTCTTACCGATTTTTTACAGAGTTTTATAGCGTAATCGATTCCCAGAGTTGAAATTCAGTCGGGTTTTTGAGTTTTCGATAAGTTCAAGGTCACGCTTTTGGATTTTCATTACGTAATTGGTTCCTTTTCATTCCATTCGTATATTTATATTGTTTTAAACCCTGTAATTAATTGCTTAGAGCTTGAAAACCGTCAAAAAATGGAGTCCGGCTGGTACCTCGAGGAGCAGCAGCCGATATATTTGGACTATAACGCTACCACGCCGTTGGATAGCGAGGTAATTTACAGGGCTTTATTTTCCATATTTAATTCCATGAATTAGAAGAATTTAGAAGTTAATTAAACCCAAATTTACTTATCAATTGACCAGAAAAGTTGCTATTTCTGGAAGGGGGAATTATGAGGGTCAGCGGGGCTGATAAGCCAGTGAGCAAAAATAGCAAACATCGCGTGAATTTTGGAATGAATTTCGGTGTTTTGAAGCGTTTTAACGAAAGTAAATTTAGAATTTTGAAGCAAAAAGAATTTGATATGGATTTTCTGATCCATTTAAACAGTAAATCAACAAAAGTGTAGAAGAAATTTTTTCAAGAAACTGAAAACAAAGGCCTAATAAAAATAATATAGAAAACTTTTTGAACGGAAATCAGTTAAAAATGGATTTTTACAATTTTCTTAAATTAAAATTTCAAATTTTTAAGATAATCGATATTTTGCCCTTTTGAGGTCCGAAAAGTGATCATCGAAGCGCTCGACCTCTGGGCCAATCCGAGCAGCAACAACCCTATGGGTAGGGCAGAAGATTTAGATACTTTACGCAAAAAAGATACGTTTTTAGTGTCAGCTTATTTTCTAGCGTTCCAAAAAACCAAAGCCTCCGGGGTCTAGAAATCAAAAGTCGGCCGACTGGGCCTAGACAGCTACTTGAAACTCCAGAAATCGGGGGAAATGCCGATAACTTGGCGTGACGATTGTGAGTATAATTTGGCGCCTTGACGACCTGTCAAGACCTCGCCGTGTGAAGTGTGCATTCTCGCGCTCATTGGCCCCTTTAAGACGGGAAAACGTTTCATTAAACCTGATCTAATCTATTTTTAGCCGCCAAAGCCAAAGAGGCGATCGAGAAGGCAAGGAAGCAAGTGGCAGGTTGGTTTCAATGAGCTCTCAAAAAATCCCCCTTTTATTAGACTTGATGCACGTCACGCCGAAGGAAGTGATTTTCACTTCCGGTGGCACCGAGGTGCGTGGTTATCCTGAATATCAGAAAATGATAAGTTTAGTGCAACTCCTGGGTGATCCACTCTGCCATCGAAAGCTCAGGACTGGCAAAACCTCACATTGTCGCGACCGAAATCGAACATCCGGCTATTCAGAACCCCCTGAAAAAGCTGAAGGAGAGAGGGGTCATTGGTAGGTATTTTTCGATGAAAATCAAGGCTGGCTAGCAGAAATCCCTGGGAATACGACTTGACCAACAAAATATCGGGGCAAACTAGCAGAGAGCATCTAGGAACCAGTCGGCTCTTCCTATGCACTTTTAAGCGGGGCAAGCTAGCAGTGATCCCCGAGGGAAACCGTTTTCTAGACGTCACCTTCTGCCCTGTCGACAAATCGAAAGGATACGTTTTACCGGAAACGATAGGAGCTGCAATCACTGCCGAAACCTGTCTGGTTTCCGTCATGTTGGCCAATAATGAGAGCGGGGTTATTCAACCAATCAGTAAGTTGCTCTCTCTCACTCACTCACGCTCTGTCTCTCTACCTCTCTCCCTCTCTCACTCTCCCTCCCTCTCTCCCGCACGCGCTCTCTCGCTCTCACACACTCTCCGTCTCTCTCCCTCCCGCTCTCTCTCTCTCTCTCTCTCTCTCTCTCTCTCTGTCTCTCTCATCTCTCTCTCTCTCTCTCTCTCTCTCTCTCTCTCTCTCTCTTTCTCTCTCTCTCTAACTCTCTACTTTCAGCCGAAATCGCCGACATCACCCGGAAAATGGGCGACAAGTTTGGCCGGAAAATCTTGGTGCACAGCGATACGACGCAGGTCAGAAATTAGAATTTTCAGAGTAGTCTGGCCGGTTATTTTGAATTTAATTTTATAAATAATTTTAATTTTGCAATTTGAGTTTTTAATTTTAGCGCATTTTAGGCAGTCGGCAAGATGGACATCAACCTCGACACGCTAAAAATCGACTACGCCACCGTGGCCGGGCACAAGGTGTATACGTTTAGCAGGTTTAAAGGGACTAGGAAACCATAAAATCGACCCTGGGCATCGACTAGGTCTCGACAGCTACGCGACACTCCAAATTCCACTTGCTGAACAGATTTTGAGACCCCAGAAACGCACGTTTTGCGAGAAAGACAGAATTCGCTTAAACCTGTCGTTTGGGGATCGAGTGAAGCCTAAATGTCTAGATCTAGTCGATAGAAGGGGTCGATCCTGGTGTTTCTCGCTCCCTGAAAACCGGCGTTTTAGTTTTATGGTCCACGCTGCGGAGCCCTGATTCTGCGCTCTGCTCTGACCGTCCCAATCAACCCGATGATCCTGGGGTGTACGCAGGAGAGCGGACTACGCGCTGGGTATGTAAAATTGTGTTTTTTTTTGCGTAAAAACATTTCTTATAAAATAAAATTGAGAGTTTAGGACCGAAAACACCCCGATGATCGCTGGCCTCGGGAAAGCCTGCGAAATTGCCGCTGAAAAGCTGGTGGAGAAGGAAAAGAAGCTTTTGGAGCATCGCCAACATTTTGAGGATCAGCTGAAGGTAGAATTTAGCGCTAAAGGGGGCCGGAAAGCGCAAGAATCGACCCTCGATTAACTGGGTCTCTGCCGCTACGCGGTGTTTCAAATGACACCTAGCGTGTTTTAGACAGCCGCTTTCAAGTGCGTGTTTTGGAGTGTCGTGTTGCCGTCGAGACCTAGTCGAGGGAAGGGTCGATTTGCGCAGTTTCACCATAGATTTTAGGCCCTTTAAACCCGACGGCATCCGGAACCCAAAAGAATTGTCTTCAAAACCCCTTCAAAAACCTTTTTTTCAGGCCCAACTCGGTGACCAAGTCCTCATAAACTTCGATGCGTCGCCCCGATTGGCCAATTCGTCATCAGTGGCTTTTCCAAAATATGCGGAAACTAGGTAAGCTCAACGTTTAGCGGTTTTCTTTCTCTCTGACTCATCAAGCTTGGAAAACGTTCAAGGTATCGTTTCAGCGCCGACCTGCTCGCCAAGTGCAAGTCGTTCTACGCGAGCACCGCCGCTGCCGGGCATTCGAAGGAGAAAAAGTAAGCTACAACAGCGCTGCCAAACAATCATAAATCAAGCTTAAAGATACTAAGAATCCAATTATCGACCCCTCCATCACCTAGGTCTCGACACCTACGCCACACGCCAAATGACATTTGGCGACGCGGATAGATTTCGCCTGCTACATGTCGCCAGCGACTAGCAAACTGAGATTTACACGTGTCATTTGGCGTCTCGCGTGGCAGTCGAGACCTTATCGATGCCAGGTCTCGATTCTCGCGCTTCCTAATCCTTTACAGGCAGTTTCAGCTGTAATACCACAATTTCTAGGGCCAGCAAGATCCTACTGGCTTCTGGAGTCCCGGAAGACGTAGCGCTGCGTAGCGTTAGATTCAGTATTGGCCGGGATACGACGAAAGAAGAGGTGAGAGAGCGAGAGATAGAGAGAGACAGAGAGAGAGAGCGACAGAGAGAGAGAGGGAGTTTTTACATAATTTTCCAGCTCGATCGTGTCGTAAAAGAGCTGAAAGCCATGCTATTCTTGTCGAAAAACGCCGGCTCGTTGATGGGAGCGCTTGGAAAAGGACCCGTCGCTGGTTTTTAAAATATTTGGAAAACTTATATCGTATGAAGCAATTTTTTCTATGCTTCATTCTGTGATTTTCTCTCTTGTCGGACCAATCCAAACTTATTTCATATCTCGGTGCATAATTGCTAGATGCTGATGAATAAATATTATGATAAGCGCAAAATAAAAGCAAAACACCAAGTTTTGAAAATTTATGAAAAAATTGTGTTTAAAATTAAGCGTTAACATGATGGTGGTGCACTTCCGGTGGGCGTGTATCGACGATACCGAGGGAGCTGAAAAAAATTGATAGATTTCGAGCTTTAAAGGGGTGTACAACGGAAGGTTTGCCATGGATTTTGCCTCCTAAAACGTTTAGTTTTTATTAAATTTTAGTTAAGTGATTTAACAATGTGATTTTCTGGCGCGATGAAAATTTGCATACCTTGTAGCTCCGGCTGCTGCGGCCGCTAGAAGGGTGAAAATGAATGCGACGATGGCGAGGTACCTAAAATCGAATTTCCTCGGTTTTTGCTGTATATTTTTTGCATTAAAAAATTCAATTAACCTACCAGGAATATCCAAGATGAGCCTGGTGAACCATTTCATACCTTGACGACTGCATGTAGGCTGAAAAAGTGTTTTAAAGGGATTTTTTTTCTACAATATTACGATGGCTTACAACTTTAAAGGTGCTGTGACAGGCTAGAAAAATATTTTTAAAGGCAGAAAATCAGAAAAAGACGTTTTAACAAGCCTAATCGTTTAATTTTTAGCTTCATTTGCCTTTATAGAGCTTTTCGAGGCACAGACAGCTAAAAAAATTAAAAATAACAACTCACTGGTCTTTGTATCGAAGCGTACTGCATACCAAATGACGGCAATGGCGATTAATAGAGCCGCCAGCGCGCACATTCCAGCCGCCGGGGCGGCCAATCGATACCTTGCTAAAAATGCCAAAATTCTTTTCTGTTTCTTAAAACTGTAATCATCGTTTTATAACTAAAAATTTGTAATTATACTAGGCAAATAATTTTATTTTTGATTTTAACGGTAAAATAGCTATAGCATACCTTTCGACAATAAGAGGCAAAACGAGATGACGCAGATGAACTCGAGGAGTGCGGCGACGATCATGCAGCCGAGAGCTACCTTTTCGAAGGTGGCTTTGTACTGAAAACCGTCAAATTTGATGCTTTTTAGTGTCTCTGCCTCTTTAAAACAAAACCAAATGCCATTTTCATGAATTAGTGGCATCAAATCATGGTTTCTGAAAGTTTTGATATGGCAGTAGCCTGCGCTACGGTTTTGAAAAAGTTACTTTCCTATCAAAAATTTACCCTAAACCACTCGTGACAGTCCGGCCTTGCGACGTATCGTACGCCATTTCCACAGTCCAACGTGATGAGGCCGAAAAATGGGGCGCCCTCTCCCTAAAATTTTATGATTTTCACACAATGGAGCTTTGCCTTGTCTTTCTGACTACTTTCTTGCTCTGCTCTCTATCTCGCTCCCTCTCTCACTCGCTCGCAACCTCATGCTCGCTTTCTCTCTCTCTCTCTCTCTCTCTCTCTCTCTCTCTCTCTCTCTCTCCCTGTCTCTCTGTCTCTCTCGCTCTCTCAAGCTCATGCTCGCTTTCTCTCTCTCTATCTCTCTCTCGCGCTCTCCCTCTCTCTCTCTCCTTTTCGCTAGCTCTCTCTCACTCTGTCACTCTCTCTCTCTCTCTCTTTCTCTCTCTCCCGCTCTCGCTATGTATCTCTCTCTCTCTCTGTATCTCTTTCTCTCTCTCACCTTATATGACCTCCATCCAGGCGTGAATAATGCAACCATGGTAAAGATGAAGGCAATGATTATCAGAATCCCGTAAGACATTTTAGCGGTTCGCAGTCGATTCGCCATGTTTAGTTTTATGCGTAGGAAGCGTCAACCGGAATGTTAGTCAGTCAGATGTACGCACGAGTACTATAGCGTAGCTGGCGTAATTAGGATTGGCCTGGCAAGGTCAATAGGAGCTTGTGGTAGCAGTACGTCCGAGTACGGTTACGCGTTGGAGCGTAAATAGGAGCCTAGCGTAGCCAATCGTCCGAACTTCTCACGCCTGACAGGTGGACGCGTAGTTTTGCGTACTTAGGAGCGTAGTGTAGTCAAGCGAGCGTAAAGAGTAGCGTAGCGTAACCGCCCCGAATATCAATCAAAAATGGAATTTTCCAAGTTTTTCCGTAAGAATTAGCCGACTAAAAATCGTACAAAAACAGCCGTGTGGCTCCCTAAAATAAGGACAAAGGAAAAGCTGAACTGGGGCGCGTCGCGCGCATCCCAGCAACCTGCCCTTATTTATGCGAGCCTTAGAAACGGGCAGGTCGAGAATGGACAACGCATCCACACAGACATCCCATACCATTCTGAAGTCTCCTCCCGAGTGAAGTGATGAGACGCCAAAGGGCAAAAAGAAAAAAGCTCGAGGGCTAACGGAGCGGGGAATTTCACAACCCAGAACCGTCCAACTCTAAATAATGCAAATTTTTGAAGGGACTGGGAGGGCAGAGATCTATAGCCTGCCGCATAAATAATTTTGGCAATTACCCAGCCATAGGTTGGCATTTTACCATGAAGCAACTTAGAAAATTGGGAAAACATGCATTTTAAGGGCCCCAGGAAGGCGAAATTGATCGACTTGGCAGATTGGTAGAACCGCTATCAACGCGTCGGTGTATCAGGTTGGTAGATAAGTCCTGTCACAATTTTTTGAAATCGCTCTATGAAGCCGCAGAAACATCCAATTTGGGCTTTCGATACATGATTTGATAGGTCTTCGGACGCTCTACCTCAGCATGACCCTCCTAGGACCCCAAAGTCGCTGGTCACCGAGATACAGCTTCGAAAAGTTTCGCTCAAAATCTAGTCACAGCTTTCGAGCGAGTTATCTCTGCGTAGAACAATTTGCATGCGATACCTTTAACACCAATCGATAGCTCTCGAAGAGTAGATATCGATAGATGTTGAGATCATCAAAAACGGACATCGAATGACCGAGATACGACCCCGTGAAATTTAGCCCATTTCTTTGAACTTTTCCCCAAATCCCATACATTTTGCACATTTGGTCCAAACTTTGCCGCCTTGTTTTTGAACGTACCGAGAAGATTTTGTCAAAATGTATGGGATTTCGAGAAAAGTTCTAAGAAATGGGCCAAATTTCAAGGGACCATATCTCGGCCATCTGATGTCCGTTTTTGATGATCTCAACATCTATCGATACCTACTCCTCGAGAGCCATCGATTGGTGTTAAAGGTATCGCATGCAAATTGTTCTATGCAGAGATAACTCGCTAAAACACTTTTGCGTAATTATTCAAAAATCTTCAAGGGCCGTTATCTCGGCGACCCACACCTTCCAGACCCTATCCGACTGCACCCACGGTAGAGCATCTCAAGACCTATCAAATCATGTATTGCAAGTGAAAATTTGACGTTTCTGCGGCTTTAAAGAGCGATTTCAAAAATTTGTGACAGGACTTATCTACCAACCTGATAATTGAGATACCGCGATTCGTATAGAAGGAATGCGGACTTTGAAAAATGAGAGTTCAAGAATTAGCTTTCAAGACAGGTTTTCGATAATAGACAAAATCAGTTTTATAGGGGCTGCAAAAGGAGAGTTTTATGGGCATTATTGCCGCTTATACGGGCATTTGGTAATAAGCCGATCGCCACTACGGTGGCCTCCTGGAAGGCTCCGAAACGGGGAAAACTTTTGGTAGAAGTTCCCTTCAGACAGGCTTGCGCGAGAATCATCCACTTCAGGTGTGTAAGTTCGAAAACTACGCCACACCTCAAATCACACATGCGGATGGTTGGTTTAAGCGTACCGTGGTCTTTCGGCTCGTCGTCAGGTGGCTTACTCGTCCCTTTAAAGCCTAAATCTCGCTCAGTTTGGTTTTTAATCCTCAGTTCTGAAAGGATCTCTGCTAGATCTCTTAAGGGTATGCTAGCAAGGGTTCTTGCGGAAACTTCTATTGACTTTGAGATATTCCTCTCTCTTTCTACTCTCTCTCTCTCTCTCTCTCTCTCTCTCTCTCTCTCTCTCTCTCTCTCGCTCTCTCCCCTACATCGTGCCCTGACTCACCCCTTCCTCAATTTCCCAATCCCTTTAGCCCCTCTCTACCAGTTCCCCCGTTCTTGTTTTCTCAGTCTCCTTTCCAGTGTCTATTCCGTCCGTTTTAGCCGAAAATCGGGACCTCTGGTAGCCTGCGGGGTCCTCAAAAGCCTCTAGGTAAATACAGCATTCAGTGAGTGAGGGAGGTGGACAGGCGAGGTTCGTTGGTTCGGCTACCAACCCCAAGAAAGGTCATTCAGCAATTTTTTTCTTGCAGTTATGCCGCTCGCTAGTCTGCATCCTTAAAGTCGTCAAATCACTTAAATATAGACATTAAAAAGCAAGGAAAATTGAATAAATGAGGTTTGAATTTTTGTTATGAGCTACCGTTTTACCGTGTTGGGATGTGAGCCATTTTTTAGAGAAAGATACATTTTTATATCTCTCTAGGAACCCTCAGTTTCAAGGTTTTTTTGGATTTTGAATTCTTCACGAAGCTTGGCTGTAACAATACAGAATTTTTTATTCTGCACAGCGATTTCCAAAATACCCGCCCCGCACCTTTGGACGGCCGATCCAGGCCCGGGTGACGGCCGGCTGTCAACCGATTCGGCACCTTCTTCTTTGTGTAAACAGTATTGGATCGGGCTTTCCGGTGGATTCCGATCCGCTCCGATCCTAGAAACGTACCATGTAATCGGCCGTACTTTTCAGAATGCTATTCCTGGCTATATTCCAATTCTTCCTATTGACGATTGTTTGCGCCCAGAATGGACCGATATTTGATGGAAAAAGAAGGTAGGTTTAACACTAAAATACAGTAAAGCTTAGACAATTCAAAAAAATCGCGAAAAATTGGCAAGAAAAGGAGCAGGAACCCAAAAATCAACCCCCTCTAGCCACTAGGTCTCGACAGCTACGCGAGATTCCTAATGATGCTCTAGCTCTAGCAGGCAAATTGGTAATTTCCGTAGCGTCAATACTTCTGTCACCATACTAAAAGCTACAAAAATTGCGATAAAAAGGTGTCATCGGGCGCCTCGCGTAGCCGTCTAGACCTCATAAACTTGGGGTCGATTTGCTGGCTTCCCGGTCCCTTTAAAGTCCAGATAAAAATTTTCAAATTTTTTTGATCCGACCGATTTTTCAGCAATCCCACCCAAAAAGATCTTCCCTTCCTGAAGAAAGCCTCCGAACAAACGAGGAAAGACGTTTTTCAGGTGCTTGGCGATAGGTGGGTCGCGTACCGTAATGAAGTTTTCCAATTTAAGCCAACTCCCGATCGAGGAAAAGGAGGACATCATTGCCGACATTGTCGCCAAGGACACCGACCAGGTCAAGGTAAGTGATCAGTAGCTTTAAAGGGACTAGAGGAGGTGCTAGGATCGACCCGTTCCATGGACTAGGTCTCGACAGCTACATGATACACCAAATTACGCTCTCTGGCTAGAATGACTACTGGAAGCCGGTCGGAGCGTGATGTTTAGGCAATATCCAATATTTTCATGTATTTTTTGAAGCCCTGCGTAGCTGTCTAGGCCTAGCCATGGGAAAGGGTTGATTTTGGCCCTTTCCGACCTCTTTAAAACACTACTTTTAAACGGAGGTTTCGTAAAGTCCCAATTTTAGAGAGATTTCGAGAAATTTCGGAAAGAAGTGCGTCAGAGGAGAGAGAAAAAGGAGAAAGCTTTGCTGAAAGTAAGTGGCACTGGAATCTTGGAAAAACCAATCAGACAATGCCGGTATTAGCGCACATTTTAGCATTGGAACATTATGCGTATAAAACAACGTAAATTACAGTCGAGGAGCCGTATGAGCGAGCAAGCCGCAAATGCCGATCAGTACATTGAAGGGATTGTAAAGGTACGTAATCTCTAATTGCGCTCGCCCTCTCTCTCTCTCTCTCTCTCTCTCTCTCTCTCTCTCTTCCTGTCTCTCTCTCGCTGTCTCTCGCTTTACTTCTCGCTCTCTCTCTCTGTCTCTCTCTCTCTTTGTGCCTCTCTCTCGCTGTCTCTCGCTTTACCTCTCGCTCTCTCTCACTCTCTCACTCTCTCTCTCTCTCTGTTACCTTTCTATGGGGTTTTTTTGAGAATGACGAGCTGAACCCGATGCAAAAACAGCGGATGATCGGTGATCTGCTTGGCGGTCTCTCCGATCGTGTCAGGAATGAGCTGTACAAGGCTAGAGCCGGGCTGAAGAAGCTTGTTCGTCGAGCATTGAAGTAAGTAAGCAAGAGAGAGAGAGAGAGAGAGAGAGAGAGAGAGAGAGAGAGAGAGAGAGAGAGGAAGCTAGAGAAAGAACGACAGAAAGAGAACATTATCTCGATTTTCCAGAGGATTCCGTCGCAACAAGGGCCAAAACAACAGCGAGGACATCGGGGTTGAGGTATAAAAACTTATCGCATCTTTTACAACCTTTTTTCTAGGTAAAACCGATCAGCTTTTCCGAAGATGGTGGTATGCTCCAGTTATAAAAAGTCTAAACATTATTTTGGATCTAAATCAACGAAATTTCTTTTTTTTACACCTTTTTTGCAGTAGGGGATAGCCCGGGAAATCGCCTGTATTTATTTTATTCATTATTTTTAACAAAAGCCAGTTTCCCCAGCGGCTACCACCCTAAATCGCCCATTCTCAGTTATGGACCAATTGCTTTTTGTGTGCTTGCAAACAGATTTTTAAAGGGACTGCGAAGCACTAGAATCGACCCCTGTGATCCACTAGATCTCGACAGCTACACAACGCTCCAAATGACATGAACTCTAGAACTCTAGAACTCTCCTTGAACCCTGGGCTTGGGGAAATTCAAAGCGCTTTTACGTGTCATTTGGACTCCCGCGTTGGTGTCGAGATCTAGTAGGTGAAAGGGTTGGATTTGCTCGCTTTCTAGTCCCTTTAAAGCCATCCTTTTCAATATGTGATGATTCTTAACCTTAAAACCGATTCGTTATAATTCCCAGTTGACCCTTGGTGCCATCAGTTTTCAAAAAAAAAACGTAGAAAGCGATAAATAAATCCGATATTTTCTGAATTCCCGGTATACTGTAATATGCTTTGCACACTGTATCTTCACTTAAAATTCATTGAAAATACCGAAAAACACCAAAAATTTCAAAGATTTAAGTGAAAGAAATCAACCCGGAATAGTGGAAGAGGCGGGGCAAACTGTAAGTGGGGAATTGAAAAAAAAAAACATTTTTGCAAGAATCGATTTTTCTTGCAAAAATGGCTTGAAAAGAGCTAAATTTAGGTTTCGCCAATCAAATTCACGTCTTGCAAAAAACGAAAAAAAAATTAAAAATACAAATATGGTAGAAATTACTGTGGTTTCAAAGCTCATCATGATAATTCGAACTCGGCTGCTCGATGCACTTCTTCCAGATGCAAATCTCGCCAGAACCCTTTGGGCAATCCCAATCTCGCTCGCAGGGTTGCTGTAAAAAATACGGTATATGCGGGGTTAAAGGGACGCGCCAGGAATGGCTACACTGGCTACCGCGACACGCGACGCGCAGGCGGCCGTGTGCGGCTGAATCAATTACGCACTAAAACTTGTGCGTTGCGTGTCGCGGCTACCACAACACCTGATAGTTTAAATGTCTTCACACGAATTTGGTGGAATTAAATGGCATAAGGAATTTGGTACTGGACTGTTAGCAGGGGGGCGCATTTTTCTCGGTTATCCTCTATGCCCCTTTAATAAAATATCAACAATTTTATTGCCCTTTAACAGTCTTCAATAAAAACCTCATAAAATTATAAAATTTTTGAGCCCATTTGACTGCATGAAGAATCTAACCAAAAAAATCTAAATTTTCGAGAACGTGAAATATTTTTTTAGATCTTTATATCGACCAGACACTACTAAAGACGCTATGAAAATACGCTATTTTTTCATTAACCGATACGCATAGGCCGAAAACGCGATTTTTACAACTTTAAAGGGCACGTTCAGGGAGGGTTTTTTTGGAAAAAAGGAAAAGATTTTTGGCCGCGGCCCTGGGTCGAACCCGGGCCCCCCGCTCGGGAGGCGCGGATGCATACCAGTCGGCCACAGCTACAACCTGGCGTGGGGATGAGGGGCGCCCCACGCCGCAAAGGAGGGGAATGGCCTGTCACAGCACGGGCAGGCAGTGCGCGCGGTCCCTACGTCCATAGGGTGTACACGTTGGGACGAGTATACGACCCCTACCTGAACGTGCGCTTTAAATAGGGGTGGAAAAGGACAAATCTGGGTTTTTTGTACGCTACGATACGATAGGCATAAAATACTACGTTGCCGTGGAATCGGAACGATTATAAGAAAAAAAATGCTTTTCCCCCTCACCGATGCGCAGGACATTTAAAGTTAGACAACCACTTACATTCGATCCAGCGGGTTGCCACTTCTTCCCAGCCTTTGCGGCTCCTTTGTCCTTCCCCTTCACTTTTCTTTTGCCGCGTTTCTTCGTTTTTGCGTCGACAAAGATGGAGAATATTATACCGATAATTAATAGAATCAATAGAAGACGCATCTAAATTATAGATCTTACAGGTCTGGCTGAAAAATAAACCATAAAAAAAGCGCGTAAAAATTAGGTAAAAACCTGGCAAATCAAGTCGACTCTAAAACCCGAAACTCTGAATTCGAGAAACGATCAAGCTATTAAAAGATTTTTGGAAGAGAACGGAATTTTTCTAAACTGCGAATGGGAGTCTCAACGAACGACAGGTGAATTCAGTATAAGCGGAAATTAGCGATTCCCCGCCAGATTTCGGATCCCCCCTGGGGCCAAAAATATTCCGGGCCACTCCGAAAAACGTGGGAAATTTCTAGGGACACGTTGACTAATGGGAGAATATGATTAGGCAAGAGAAGAGAGAGAGAGAGAGAGAGAGAGAGAGAGAAAGAGAGAGAGAGAGAGAGCTCTATACCTTAATTACGAAATTAAAAACATGTCACTCGTTGGGAAAGGTGATCAGATGATGTTGCATGTCACCCGGGTCCCTGGATGTGGGTGGAGTGTTTGCATTAGAAGCACAAAAAAGATAACGCGGATCATCCCACGAGAGAGCGAGAGAGAGAGAGAGAGAGAGAGAGAGAGAGCGAGGGAGAGAGAGGAGAGAGGGAGAGAGAGAGAGAGAGAGAGAGAGAGAGAGAGAGAGAGAGAGAGAGAGAGAGAGAGAGAGAGAGAGAGAGAGAGAGAGAGAGAGAAAGCGACCGAGTCAGAGCCACCTAGCTTTCTGGTTACTCTAATGCCCCAAAAAAATTTGGTGTTAGTTTTGCACCCGGAACTTATTGGAGAGTTGCCAAATCAGAGAGACAGAGAAAGAGAGAGAGAGAGAGAGAGAGTGAGTTCGTGAATGATGAATTCGTGATGTTTTGGGTATTTTAACAAATTTACATAAAGATTTTTATCAAATCGTTTCAAACAAGCGATTCCAGTGTTGTTCGAAATTTCAATATTTTCCAGTAGCGGTAGACAATCACTGTCTAAACTCATAATTTTGTAAGAATACTAAAAAAGAGCGCCTACCATCATGAATTTCGATATGCAGAGGCAGACGAGGATGAAGAACATTACTGAGGCAAATATCCGGGCTGAAATTGATAGAATTAAAGGCAAAAAATTAAAAATCATACAAATGGGTTGATTCTACGGTGTTCATTCTAAGTTGCATACCTCCATTCTGCGATCCGCTATACTGAAAGTAGTGATTAACGTCTGGGTACGGTAGAATGGCCAGAGCTACGCAGCCGAGGACCAGTAAAATCAGCCATACGATGGAGAGGACCTAAAAATGATGATATTAAAGGGAGAAGCAAGGCAGCAAGGCAAGACTGTGGATTTTTAGAATATGGCTGAATTTTACTAAAAACTCTAACAAAACCCGTTGGTGCCGCGGGCATGAGAAGTTCAGGATTGGATCCATCGCCAAAAAGGCTTAGCGATGACTTAACGGCCCCTTTAAAGTGCCTAGCAAAACTAGGGACATCTCTTAGTAGAAGGTACTAACCATGTAAATCAAGTGCAGCTGCACAAGGATGGGTTTTTTGAGCCAGACCCCAAATAATAGGCAGAGGATGGCGCCGAGGGTTATTAGAAGTGCTGTTCCGCTTATTGTTAAGCTCCCTGAAAATTGGCCTTCTCTCGCTCGCTCACTCTCTCCGTTTCTCTTTCTCTATTTCTCTCTCTCTCTCTATCTTTCTCTCTCTCTCTCGCTATTTCTCGTTCGAATTCGAGAAACTTACACCACTTCTGATGATGAATTAGGCTGAACATGAAGAGGATAAAGTCGTAAAACCAATAGGCCGCTTCCAAGGCAGCTATTATCAGGACACCGGTCTAAAATGCGCTTTTAAAGGGGCTTGGAAGCTCGATAATCAACTGCTTCCCGAGACTAGGTCTCGACAAAGCACGAGACTCCTTGCCCATGAGCCTATCAAAATAAAAATCGCAACTCAAATTATGAGTGTTGCGTAGCCGTCTAGACCCAGTCTAAAGAACCGTCGAGTTTTCCGCCTTCCAGGCCCTTTAGCTAGACGTTTATAACCTCATATCCAATCCTTCCACAACAAAGCCTTCGATACTGCGGCTCCGGCATGGCTTTCCGTTGTGGTAATTCCACTAGAGTGTCCGATAGATATCTTGAATTTTCGGTGAGCGCCATTGTTCTAAAATTTTTGTCTACTTGATTATAGTCGATTTTTGGTTGCTTAATGTCAGAAAATTACCAGGAAACTGGCAAAAAGAGCAAGAGGGACCGCAAAAATTCAAACTAAGTCCCTTGCCTTTCTCCTCTCCGCTCGGGGGACCTTGCTGACCGTTATCAGCAAAAACAAACAGGCCTAGTAGCATAGGCTATCTTTTGCTCTCTTTGACCGGCTCCTTCATTCTCGCTCTCTTTCGCTAGCTCTTGCTCTATCGCTCTCTCCCTCACTCTCTGTCTCTCTTGCTCCTTGCTCCTCCTTTTTTGTGATGAATATAACTGGCCTTAAAAGGGCGTCGGCAAGTGAAATAAAGAGAGAGAGAGAGAGAGAGAGAGAGAGAGAGAGAGAGGGACAGCGAGAGAGCTAGACAGTGCGAGTGCGAGGGTGAGAGAGGGACAGATATAGAAAAAGAGAGCGAGAGAGAATAGGCGAGAGAACGAGATAGATAGAGAGAGAGAGAGTGTGTGAGAAAGAGGGAAAGAGAGTGAGAGAGACAGAAACTCTGTATCTTTTCGCTGTTTATAAGTTTTTCATGTCCTTCAATTTCCTTTAATAAGTTATTTATTCAAATTCAATAAATTAATTGGTGACCGCTGGGGGTGGTTTGTGACTTTTGAAGCGGTGGTGCGTCTAGTGAGCCTCAGTGGCGGCGGGAGCCTTCTGGAAAATTTAGAGTTTGTTCGGAAAAGGGAAGTTTTTTCGATTCAGACACTGTAGAATTTTCAGACAGCTCGAAAATTCGACACTTAACGTACCCTCTGGAGAGCCTTGATCTGGGCGCGGTGGGCGCGACGCTCGTTGGCGAGCTTGCGGAACACCTTGCGGAGGTTGCGCTGGTGGTTGCGGCGCTGGCGGCGGGCGATGCGGTTGGCGGCACGGCGGGCGTTGACGCGACGACGGTGGTGGATGCGGTTGATGACGCGACGGTTGCGGAGACGACGCTGGGCGCGTTGGAGCTGGAAATGAGAGAGTGAGAGCGAGAGAGAGATAGAGAGAGAGAGAGAGAGAGAGAGAGAGAGAGAGAGGGTGAGAGCCAGAAAGTTTGAGAATCCGAGAGAAAGGAAAAGACCAAGTGAGCTCGTGCTCCACCCAAAAACTTACAGCACGACGCTGCTTGCGTCCCCTCTTGTGGTGGCGGCGACGGTGGTGGACGGCACGCTTCTCACGGATCATCTCCAGGTCGGAGTCGGCCTCCAGGGCGAGGCCAGTCTAAAAAGGCAATTTTTCAAAGCTTTGGGGGAATCGCTCGAGCTCATTCTCGAATTTTCAGACATTTTCAGGGCGCAGAAGTCGATCGCCTAACCCACCTCGGTCTCCTGGTTGTTGTTGCTCTCGGCCATGGCGAGGCAGACGAGTCCGAGGACGACGAGGGCAACGAATCCCCACTTCATGATGATAGGCTGGAAAAACGGCGAGTTTTTAGGCTTGCTTTGGGTCAAGAACAGTGCGGAAAAAAACAGAAAATCAGAATCTGGGGAAGCTGGGAAGGGAAAAGCTTGGGAAAAGCGCCTATTGTAAACTATGCGTTGCTGAACGCGACTGTACACGGTAGTACGCTAACTTGTGCTATTGTACACTATAGTACGCTACTGTGCTACTGTTTTACGCTGTAGTACGCTACAGTACCCTATTGAACCTTAGTACGCGACAGTACAGTACACAGATGTATGCTAATGTCTTAGCTAGTACGCTTCTGAACAATATTGTACGCCGTCAAATGGAGGCTAATTTACAAGATAGGACCCTACTGTCCGCTACTGTAAAATGTACACTAGTGTACTATGGTCTTTTGATGGCCCAATCGGAAGATTATATAGAATGTTAATGAAGCTATAAATTGCTACGAAGGCCATTGTTTCCGAATAGAAATGACATGAAGACGTTAAGGCGGCTAGGAATGCTACAGAAAAGCGGGGAAGTCAATTTTGTACGCTAGAATACAAAGTCCACAAAGGCGAGCTCTATTGCTAAGATTGAGTAGAAGCTCAAGCTGATGCTCAATTGGATGAGGTGGTGAATGAGGAGGAGGAGGAGGTGGCAAATTCGATGTTTCTGCGGCTCCACCCGGCTCCTTTATACGCCCCGGCAGATCCGGAGGAGGGAGGCGCGCGCCTGCCCCCCAGCCCGGACCGTACTTCGAGTCCACGCCGGCCGGATGGCAGATTCTGTTCGTTCTCTTTTGGTTTGTCTGTCTGTCCGTTTCTCTGCTCCCTCGAGGAGCTGGAGATCATGTTCGGCTTGCTAGTTTCTATCAAATTTTTGCTTTTTCGCTGGCTCGCTCTGGGACTGTCTGTCTCTCTCTCCCTCTCTATCGCACTCTCTCGCTCTCTCGCTCCCTCACTCTCTCTCTCTCTCTCTGTCTCTCGCTCTCTCTCTCTCCCTAGGTTCAGACTGAATTCTTCCACCAGATTTTCACTTTCTCTCTCTCTCTCTCTCTCTCTCTCTCTCTCTCTCTCTCTCGCTCCTCTCCTACATGATTCTATTCTGTACAAAGTTTTGCTTGGTCGTCGCCCTGTCCACCCATCTATCCGTCCATCTTCTACCGTATGTCGGTTTGCCTGTGTAGACGCGTAACTCCTCTATACGATGGTCCCTTCGCAACTCCTTGAATTCCATGTGCTGCTACATATTTGGACAAACTCCGAAGGCTGCTAAGTTTTTGTTGTCCGAAGATATCTGGAGATAAGTTTCTTCCACGTTACGGCATCATTTTTCCATGTTAAAGGGACGAACACGGCAGGTCCGTGGGTTTAGGTGGCCCGGGAGGTTCTATGAATTTTTATGTGACATCGAGACGCAAAGCGCACGCGCCGCGGAGCGCCTTCAAGGGATAGTAAGCCATTACGAAATGAAAATGGTGATTGCGCGCTTTTCATACTGAAATTGATATGACTGTATTACTGAGTATTTTAGAAGGTATTTTCCTCTATACGCAACCTAACGCCTCTCTGTTGCTCAGCTTTTACTTTCTCCGTTTCTCTCTCTCCCTATCTCTCTCTCTCTCTCTCTCTCTCTATCCCTGTCTCTCTCTCCACCATATCCGATCCCCCACCTGCCGCGCCAGACCAAAAAACGGCAAAACGCCGCACCCGCAGCGCGGGGGTTCTGTCTAGTGTTCATCGGCGTAGACCAGAAAAAGCGGCCCGCATCTCAACGTTTCGGCTCTCCACCCGCATGCCATCCCTCATCTTAAGGAATTCAGATACTTCGGGGTGTGTAGGGTATATTTCGGTAGTTTCTCCGTTCCGGTGCGAGCCCTGTAAATTGTTTCGATGGAGTCTACGGCAGATTTTTCTAGACCGAACTTGTTGCTCGGACCTTTATTTGGAGGCTTCAAGGTAGAGACACCTCGAACTTAAGCTCTTATTGGCTTATGGCTCTTAGCTCAGGTACCCGGGTAGAAACGTAGATACTACTTTTAAACCCAGGTTAAAAACCTTGAAAGCCCTAGTATCTAACCATGCCAGCCACTGGGTCTAGGCAACTACTCGGCACTCTAAATAAAATCTTGCGAACCTATTTTGGGTATAGGCTAGGAACATTGAGCAAAATCCAGACAAATTTCTTGTCAATTTTCGAGCATCACGGAGCTGTCGAGACCCATGTGATGCCAGAGGTCGATTCTGGCGTGTATGGTGCCTTTAAATCACTTTTATCTTAAGTGATTTACGGAATACATGACCTATATAGGACATAGGATCTTTCTTACATCACTTAAACGTTTGTTAAATTTTCAGAACGACTATCAATAAAAATCAAGGAATTTTTCAGGCGTAGTTTGGCGTGACGCCTAGCTCTCCAGACTTACAGGGTGAGGCATATATATCGAAGCACCCCCGGGCCATGGAATTTTGCATGCAAGCAAAAACTAACCAGTTTTTAGGGATTGTGTTTATTTACCAAAATACAATAAGTGGTTCCTGATGCAGGGGTCGAAGAAAAACGATAGCCGACTGCCTTGTTTTTTATTTATCATTTATAAAAGTTTAGCCGTTTTGTCGAAAAAGTGGTGTGTTGGCACGCTGCTCCTAGAGATGGGCCTAAAGGTAGCACCGTCTCAGGATCCTCGATTCTAGCTTGATTAAGACCTATCGATTTATTGCAAAAGTCGGATAGCCAAAAATAAGCGAAACAATTTTGTTATAGTCAAAAATCAAGCCCTGACCAAACTCAGGCCCCTCCATCGTAGCGACTTAAAAATGCATTACAAAATAAACGCTCG